AAAAAAAAAAAAAAAAAAAAAAATTTCCCTCTGTGTAAAAGTGAAAAATGTAATTTGTATTTTTCTCGGGAAACTCCTCACATTGTTTATCTTGTGTTGCTCAGAACTCTTTTTCTCCTTTTGAGTTTCTGATGAACAGAATAGAGACTCCACCCGCTGCACTAAGTCACAGCATATTAAAACGGCCCTATTAGTGATAAAAAAGGACGACTTAAAAGAATTACCAAAGTGGGCTTCCCTGGTGGCGCAGTGGTTGAGAGTCCGCCTGCCGATGCAGGGCACACGGGTTCGTGCCCCGGTCCGGGAGGATCCCACATGCCACGGAGTGGCTGGGCCTGTGAGCCATGGCCGCTGAGGCTGTGCATCCGGAGCCTGTGCTCTGCAACGGGAGAGGCCACAGCAGTGAGAGGCCCGCGTACCGCAAAAAAAAAAAATTAATAATAATAATAATAATAAAATTACCAAAACATTGCAGACCTTTAATTTAAAATCAAATTGTGTGTGTGTGTGTCTCTAAATAAATACATACATAGGTATATAGATGTATCCCCTCTGTCCAATGCTGACAGCATTAGAACAGTCATGAGCAGCAGCAGCAGCCCAGGGACCTCAGTAAATCTCCAGTAGGGACCTGAAAGGCAACAGTGAAGTAGCTGAATCAGAGGACTTTACAGGACTGAGCAGGAAGTGCAGAGAAAGAGGCTGTGGGTATTCATTAGGTAGTAGATGACCTCTGGGTGTGAACCCACAGCAGCTCCTGCTGGTGTAGCCTGGCTACACGGCCCCTGTTAGATGACTCACCCCGTTCTGAATGCCCGTGCTGGGCCCATCTCCCAGCCTCCTTACATGAGTATAATCCTAATGTCTTGCAATCTGACTATTTGGTCCAGTTCATGCACAATAAATTAGTCCCAGCTTTGACTTGAGAAGGTTTCAGATTAAAGAGCCAAGTTCAAGTGCCAGGAGCAAACTAAGATGCCTTAGAGTAACAGTCTAGGCATTTCACTTATGCTAGTTATTTTTGTCAGAGATTTGGACATAGTAGACCCTCAAGAAATACTCGTTGAGATGATGGCTGTGAAATTCTCTCCTTGTAGGGAATCCCTCTGATATAGGGGTAGATAGCAAAGAAGTGAGGTCTGCTCACCAATTCAGTCAGTGACCTATAGTCTTTCATGAGGTAAGCCACCTTGATGATAACTCATGAAGATCAAAAGTTTCTAAACCTAAACATGAATGTTACATAAATTAACTCTGTTTGATCCTTGGCTCTGAGGCCTTTTAACTTTGTTTTGACAGGTGGTGTGTGTTGGGTCAATGACAGAACTGGAAGAACTGTCAGGAGCAAAGATCTCAGATCTCCACAGAGAGAGGTCAGTTTCTGAATGTTTGATTCACTTCAGTTCAGTATCGGGCTAGATAGCCTGTTTAGACATGATCTCTGTATCAGATCACAGAGCTACATGTAGAAATCAGACACTAGTTTGCTGAATTACTTCGTTGTTGCTGATTCATGTCATATTGAGGAAAGGTGGCCTCTTGTCCTTGAGTTAGATGTCAGGAGACTTTGGTATATAACCTTCCAGATGGAGCCCTGATGGTGCTCTCTGAAAGCCTGTGATAACTGCCTATATTTCTGTTTGCAGATGCATATGAAAGAGCTGTGAGGGCATTGTGTTTCCTCTTGGCAATTAAACTGTAATTTCTGTTTTGCTTAAAATTAATAGAAGTGGCTACTTCTTTGTTTACTAGCATTGACCATCTGACCATTCCTTCACGCTGTGGGAAGGGATTGTTGCATCGCATCTCTGAAGTGTTTGACTGTTGGTTCGAGAGTGGCAGCATGCCCTATGCTCAAATTCATTATCCATTTGAAAACAAGAGGGAGTTTGAGGATGCATTTCCTGCAGATTTCATTGCTGAAGGCATTGACCAAACCAGAGGATGGTATGTTTCTTTAAAGCGTATTTATTTATTTATTTATTTATTTTTGGCTGCATTGGGTCTTTGTTGCCGCACGTGGTATTTCTCTAGTTGCGGCAAGCGGGGACTATTTGTTGTGGTGCGTGGGCTTCTCATTGAGAGGGCTTCTCTTGTTGCGGAGCATGGGCTCTGGGCACGCGGGCTTCAGTAGTTGTGACGCACGGGCTTAGTTGCTTCGCGGCATGTGAGATCTTCCTGGGGCCAGGGATCGAACCTGTGTCCCCTGCATTGGCAGACAGATTCTTAACCACTGTGCCACCAGGGAAGTCCCTCTTTAAAGTGTTTTACTGATTTGATTTAACAGATATTTTACTGAGCATTTAGCATTTATCAGCTGGGTGCTGGGGAGATTGTGTCAAACAAGACAGGCTTGGGCTTCCCTGGTGGCACAGTGGTTGAGAGTCCACCTGCTGATGCAGGGGACACGGGTTCGTGCCCCGGTCCGGGAAGATCCCACATGCCACGGAGCGGGTAGGCCCGTGAGCCATGGCCGCTGAGCCTGCGCGTCCGGAGCCTGTGCCCTGCGACGGGAGAGGCCACAACAGTGAGAGGCCCGCGTACCACAAAAAAAACAACAACAAAAAAACAAGACAGGCTCTGCTCCTGCCCTCTGCCCCTCACCACTAAACATACCATAAAAGTGTCTTTTGAGCAGGAATCTCACACTCTATTAGGGCTGTAGTTTTAGAGTTTGAATTGTTTCACATTTTGGAATACAGAGATTTTGGTGTATGGAAAGGTTAAGTGATACAGAACAATTAATGTGTCCTTAGTTTGTTTACTTCAAATCATTTACACAAGTGTTTAGTGGGTATTTACATAGAATTTACTGGAGTGGGTGCTACAAATTGGAGGGTTAGTTGAAAATGTACTAAGATGTTAAGGCTGGCCTCATAACATTCTAAAAAATCCAGGTTTAAAATTTTTAAAAAAGAAAAAAAAACATGGTGGGGAGGACTTTGGCATTGGTTTTATCTGATGCCTTATCTAAAGCAGTACCCTCATCCTCTTAATTAGAAAAAGATGAATTACCTTCTCTTCATGCATGAGTTTGGCTGACCCAGGTTCTAATTATACTTTCATTAGTAATGTTTCTGCAGGAGTGTTAAAAGAATGTTGGTATCATTTTCTCTTTACAGCTTGTAGTCATCACAAACTGATGGAATTCCAGACTTAATGTTCTTAATGTTTTCAGCTTCCAATCCATTTTTCTGTAGAAACAGCTACCATATACAAACTCCTGTTCTTAGGGAGGGCCAGATGACTCACCAATAAGTTGTTTCTCTGAGGAGTTGCCATGTCTGGCCACTGTTAAAAGCCCTCACGTGGGTCCCCATGTGCACATTGCCTCCCTCGCCTTCTGTCAGGTATGGGCTGCCTCTCGTAAGAACCAGGGTCCTCCTGACCTGTCTGATTTCCGTCCTCATTAGTTGTGTCTGGTGATGTTCTTGGGATGCAAAATCAGGTCGGAGATGACACAAGTGCATTACTTACTGGGACAGCTTACATGAATGTGATAGAGTTCTTTTAGCGAACAATCTAGGTAGCATATAAACATGCATGATATCTGATAGAATAAAAACATTTTCTATGTTCATATAGAGTAGCTTTTAACTTTTGGATGAGAGTGCTTTTTTCATCTTTTGTCATCAGACTGGCCCATATGACCTTGTGCTAAAGGCAACACATCTCTGGATTTCCAGCCTGGCATTTCTGGGAGGTCCTGAGAGGCCACCCAGTGCTGCCTTGCTCTGCCTTGTGGCTGTCCAACTAGCTCTCCAAGGAAGGTGATAGTACTGCCCCCAGCAGGGGGTCAGTACCTCATTCCAGGGCTTTATTTGCTTTAAATAAAGTTCATTTTATTTTTTCTAGTGAGAAGCTCTAATATGACTGGTCTGCAGTGGGTCCTGTGCCTAATTTTTCAGCACTCCCCAGATGATTCTGAGGTATCCAGGATCAAGAACCATTGCTTTGTGATTATCAAGAAGTGTAACTTACCTAAAATAGAAATTCAGTCCAATAAGTAAACACAGTTTTTTTTTCCTATGCTTGAATTCCTTTTCTTATTTTATTGAACTCTTTGTTTGTGGGTTTTTTTCCAGGTTTTACACCCTGTTGGTGCTGGCCACAGCTCTCTTTGGACGGCCACCATTCAAAAATGTGATTGTGAATGGGCTCGTCCTGGCAAGGCAGGTGCACTCCCTTGTGTAATAATGAGTTGCAGTTCCTGATCTCCTTTATTCTTTCAGCATGTTCTGGTTGGATCTAACCATTCTTTGTGAAAAAGGGATTCAGGAATGCCCCAGCTCTGTTCCTATTCTCTTCCTTCCTTCTGCCTTTATACTTCTTCCTGCTCTCCCTTTTCATCCAACTCCTGTCTTGTGCTCTTCTCAATCTGTAACATTCTGTCTCTACATATTCCTCTGTCTTAGGAGAAGGACTGCATTAAGAGCTAAGCCTAATGGAGGAGGACAGAGGGGAGGACATGTGTCCCATGATACTACTAGTGATAAAATAACATTTGTCATTTAGAATTTTATAAAGTACTTTTGCTTATAGCTCTTATTAAATCTGTACACTGGTCCTTTAATATAGATTTTTGTTGTCCTGTTTTTAATATATGAGGAAGCTATTGGTTCTAGAGGCTTATTATAGAGGATTCTTATTTTTTCCTTCTACCGCCTCTAGTCATTAAAAGTAAAAACAAATAAAAAGAAGAAAATGAAATTTTTATACCTAGATACTTTGCTTCATGTGCTGTTCAAGGCAGGGGATGACACCTGGCACTGTACCAGGCTCTGTTTTGAGCATTTACACATCTTCACTCATTTATCCCCAGAACTATTTGAAATGGGTCCTTTCATTGTCCATTTTGACATTTGAGGAATTTGAAGTGCAGAAAAATTAAGGTCATACAGCAAAAGAGTATGAAATTCTAGTTCTATATCCAGGCAGTCTGGCTCTATAGTCTGTACTTTTTTTTTTAATTGAAAATCTTACTGAATTATAGTTGTAAAAATTAATAGAGACCCCTCGTGTGCTTTGCCTGGTTCCCCCAATGGTCACGTTTTTGAAACTGTAGCACATTGTCACGATCAGGATGTTGATTGAATCCACCAGTCTTACTCAGATTTCCCCAGTTTTACTCATTTGCTATTGCATGCAATATTATCTCATATATGGGTTCCTGTATCCACCAGCACAGTCAAGATACTTGGCCTGTTTCAACATCACAGGATGCCTCTGTTGCCCTTTTATAACCATACCCACCCCACCCCTTCACACTCCTCCCACCTCAGCCTTCAGTCCTAATCCCCATCCCCTGGCAACCACTCATCTATTCCCCATCTCTGTAATTTTGTCATTTCAAGTATGTTATATAAATGGATTCATATCATATATAACCTTTTGTGATTGGCTTTTTTTGCTTACTGTAATTCCCTGGAGATACCTCAGGTGGTTTTATGGATCCATAGTTCTTTCTCATTGCTGAGCAGTGTTCCATGGTGACCCACAGTTTGACTTTTCACCTGCTGAAAGACATTGAGGTTGTTTCCAGTGTTTGCTGACTATGAATAAAGCTGTGAACTTTCTAAGGTTTTGTGTGAATATAAGTTTTCGTTTCTCTGGGATAAATGCCAAGGCTGTGTTTTTTCACTGTTACACTCTGGCATCTTCCTGCTGCCATTTATCCCGAAACTTCTCCATTGACTCGCTACAGTATTCAAAAAGAAGCTTAAACAACCTATTGTTGTGCCTTAGTAGTAGCTTGTGTCCCATTTGCACTTACGTATTCCAACTTGTAGATAATCTGTAACCATATATAAATTGTGATGTTGACTTATTTATTTGGTGTTTCCCTTCTATTTTTCAAGTGATGGCCAAAAAATGAGCAAACGCAAAAAGAATTATCCAGATCCACTTTCAGTCATTCATAAATATGGTGCTGATGCCCTCAGGTACAAACCAGTGCTCTGCCTTGTGTGTATTTGTCATTTCTTATTAAGCATCTTACATTCTGTTAATCATGTTTTCAGTGATATTAATCATTCTATTAATTTGGTTTATAATTAGCTTTTTTAAAAAAATGCACATCTGTTACATGGAGAATTACATTGGTATGGTGTTGACTTTAAACCCCCAAGGTGGTTTTCTAAATAGTAAAGATGTTTCTATATCTATAGGTCTTTTGGAAGAGGAGGCTGTGTGTTGGATTTTATTAAGCAGCACACGTACTCCCAGGCTAGTTGCTGGTGCCTTTCCCTCATTCCTTCTGTAGGTTCCCTGTCTTATTGATATTAGAATTCTTTTATATCATTTATTTAAATTTTACACTTACTCCTCAAATAGCCGTATGAGGTACAATTTATGCTAGAGCAAATAAAAATACTGAAAAGTTTTTAGAGAAATGTGAGATACTGCTTGAAATAGTCATAGTCATAAACGTTGAGTGCTCAGGTTAAAAGGCACCAAAGATATCTTATTCAGCATCTTCCTGTTACGAACACAGAGACCCACACCCAGGGGCAGTGGGCAAGCACGTTCACGGTTGCCATGTTGCCCAGGAGCAGTTAGTGGGGTGTCCTGCCACCCCCAGTTATCTGTTAGACTCACCTTGGCATAGCTGACAACTTGGGCCTCTTAATTCTTTGTTTGAAGGAAACATCCTGTAGGATGTTTAACAACATCCCTGGTCTCTGCTCCCTGAGTCCCTCTGTGCTGGCAGAGCACATGTGGCTGTTCCTTGTGAATCCCTGATGCCTGCACATATGTCCTGGAAGGAGGGCCTGGCTTCTTCCTCTTAGTGTTGCCATACTGCTTGAGGCCTGTGCTGGGACCAGCCCAGGGCATGCTTCTAGGTTAGTTCAGTGCCATATTTTGGTGTGGCACTTTTGGTCTCCCCTTTATAATTTGCTAGGTCTCCTACACAAAATAAGAATTTTGTCGGTTTTAAATTGACTGTTAGAAGCGTATTTATAATTCCCCACTTTTGTAGAAAAAGGGCTGATTTGGGTATTGCCCTGTCAACATGTCAGTAATATTTGGTTTACTGTCTATGTCCCTTTTCCATGTAATTTTTCTCCTCTTCCAGATTATACCTGATTAACTCCCCTGTGGTGAGAGCAGAAAACCTCCGCTTTAAGGAGGAGGGTGTTCGAGATGTCCTGAAGGATGTGCTGCTACCTTGGTACAATGCCTATCGCTTCTTCATCCAGAACGTCCTGAGGCTACAGAAGGTGTGGGTTGCAGTGCTGTGGGGTAGGGTCTGCCCACGGAGCTGGGTTGAGCTGGGTTTGGGAAAGATGGTCAGGGGTCAGCTGTGAAGCAGAGCTCCATGGGAGACAGGAGCTAACAGGCCTGGTGGGTGGGGGCTCAGAGCCACTGGGGAGGCCATAGATGAAAGTGTGACAGGTGTCTGGGGTCCATGCTGGGCCAAGAGCACAGGACTGGGACTTCACCATTTGGATAGATGCTCACCTCTGCAAGACACAGAAGCCTCACCTGTTGAAGAAGAGTTGCATTGGATATTCATTTAGCCAGCCAAATTGGTACTGGGGACTTAGTGATGGGGGAGCCAGTAAAGAGTCAGCTACTATCAGAGTGAGTGCCTAGTAAAGGCTGCTGCAGATGGGTGGTCAGGGAAGGCCACTTGATGAGTGCATTTGGGCTGAAACTCTGAAAGTGAGAGAAGTTCTCATTGGGTTGCTGGGATGAAAAATAGTGGTTCTGATATATAAGAAAGTGCCTCAGAGCAGTTACCTGCTGGCCTGGGAGGCATCCTCTGAGAAGCCCCTTCCCTTGCCCCTACTAACTGCTCTCAGGCCAGCAGGCTTCATTGCACATGTGCCTGTCCATGCTTCCTAGACTCCATTTGGGGTCAGGGCTCAGGTACCACTCATCTTTTTATCTCCAACACCTTAAAAGTAGAATTCCTTAGTAAACTACTTCTGACTAAACATGTGATATTATTCCTTCCTGAGAAACTGGTTGGAGAGCTGAGCTTTGAGCATTGCATTCCAGCAGGCTGGTCACTTCTTGCTGCCTCTGTCTCATCTCATTCTGCTAATGAACCCTCCCAAGAAGAACAAGGTCTTTGGGAACAACATCCCTAGTGTTCCTATCTTTTGGATCCCACCACCTCTCAGGCCAGCAGTGCTAAAGTGGGTCTACTTTGCAGGCCTCTGCTGGTGTGGGATTCAGGAACACAGGCTGGTTCAAACCACTCACAGTTGGGGCTCATCTGGGCATGGCAGAAAGATGCAGGCTCCAGCATCAGAGCAAGAGTCAGCATGGTCACTGCCTTGCCATCCTGATGGTGATGCCGTTGAGTAGGGACAGGTAAAGTAGGCCTTCAGGATCGAGGAGGATTTGCAAAGGGAAAAGCAGGGGTGGAATAGAGCATTCTGGGTAAAATAATTTAAGCAAAGACATTAATTCCTAGTACTCATTTTCAACTTACAGTTGTCCAGTCCTAGCCAGTTTTGCTGTCCTTCCTTCCTCAGATTCAAAGTAAACTAAACCGCCTACTTAATGACAAGATGTTGGAATATTTCTTAATTCATAATTACTCTTTGGTGCATAGGAATCATTTTTTCCTAAATTCTCTTTAGTTCACTCAAAAATGTAATTCATTAATTGAGGACTTAATGTTCCAAGTTCAGAGTTTACTTGGAAAATATTGCTAAGAATCAGAAATTTAGATTGCCAACAGGGTCTGGGTTTTTGTGGTGTTTTTTTGATTTGTTTGGATACTTCTTTCAGTTTAAATAATTTAAAAAATTCATTTCTCTACAGTAGTTTCCCCCAGGCATGCAGAATGTTTCAATAATTGTCACTTCCTAGGAGGAAGAAATGGAATTCCTTTACAACGAGAACATGGTTAAAGAAAGTACCAACATCACAGACCGGTGGGTCCTGTCCTTTATGCAGTCACTCGTTGGGTTCTTTGAGACTGAAATGGCAGGTGTGTCTCTCTTGGGCCTTCTCTCAGGAATAAGGAGTCTTCTCTTTGTAATTGTCCTTTTGATATTTAACTGTTTTTCTTTATAAACATAGAGGAAATTTTTTTTTGAAGTATAGTTGATTTACAATGTTGCGTTAGTTTTTGGTGTACAGCACAGTGATTCAGAAATATAAATGTGTATATATATATATTTTTTCATTTTCTTTTCCACTGTAGGTTATTATATGATATTGAATATAGTTCCCTGTGCTATACAGTAGGACCTTGTTGTTTATTTTATTTATAGTAGTTTGCATCTGTTAATCCCAAACTCCTAATTTATCCTTTCCCCACCCCCTTTCCCCTGTGGTAACCATAAGTTTGTTTTTTTTTATGTCTGTGAGTCTGTTTCTGTTTTGTAAATAAGTGCATTTGTATCATATTTTAGATTACACATATAAGTGATATCATATGGTATTTGTCTTTCTCTTTCTGACTTACTTCACTTAGTATGATAATCTCTAGGTCCATCCATGTTGCTGCAAATGGCATTATTCTTTTTTATGGCTGAGTGGTATTCCATTGTATATGTATACGTGTGTGTGTGTGTGTGTGTGTATAAGTACCATATTTTCTTTATTCATCTGTCAGTGGCCATTTAGATTGCTTCCATGTCTTAGCTATTGTAAATAGTGCTGCAGTGAACATTGGGGTGCATGTATCTTTTCAAGTTCTCTCCAGGTATATGCCCAGGAGTGGGGTTGCTGGATCATATGGCAACTCTAGTCTTAGTTTTTTAAGGAACCTCCATACTGTTTTCCATAGTGGCTGCACCAATTTACATTCCCACCAACAGTGTAGGGGAGGGTTCCCTTTTCTCTACATCCTATCCAACATTTTTTATTTGTAGACTTTTTAATGATGGCCATTCTGAAAGGTGTGAGTGATACCTCATTGTAATTTTGATTTTCATTTCTCTAGTAATTAGCGATGTTGAGCATCTTTTCATGTGCCTCTTGGCCATCTGTATGTCTTCTTTGGAAAACTGTCTGTTTAGGTTTTCTGCCCCTTTTTTGATTGGGTTGTTTTTTTTGGTATTGAGTTGTATGACCTGTTTACATATTTTGGAAATTAAGCCCTATCAGCCGCATTGTTTGCGAATATTTTCTCCTAGTCCATAGGTTGTCATTTCATTTTGTTTATAGTTTCCTTTGCTGTGCAAAAGCTTATGTTTGATTAGGTACCATTTGTTTATTTTTGCTTTTATTTCTATTGCCTTGGGAGACTGACCTAAGAAAACATTGGTATGATTTATGTCAGAGAATGTTTTGCCTATGTTCTCTTCTAGGAGTTTTACGGTGTCATGTCTTATAAGTCTTCAAGCCATTTTGAGTTTTTTTTTGTGTATGGTGTGAAGGAGTGTTCTAATTTCATTGATTTACATGTGGCTATCCAGCTTTCCCAACACTACTTGCTGAAGAGATTGTCTTTTCTCCATTGTATATTCTTGCCTCCTTTGTGGAAGATTAATTGACTGTAGGTGTGTGGGTTTATTTCTGGGCTCTCTAAACATAGAGGAAATTTTATAGAAATTTTGAGAGATACAGAACAATAGATAAATAAATATTTCTCTTTACCTCTCAAATATTATTTTAAGGCTTGTTAGTTGTAGAAATGTGTTGTTCCAAGGCCTTAGAGATTGTCTTGGGGGGATGTCTAGTGACCTCACCCCTCCACAGATACCACACAGGCCCATGGAATCACAGGCTTCAGTAGTGGATGCCCATGAGTTCAAAACCCAACTGCACCACTTGTTCCCTGGGGGAAACGTTACCTAATCTATGAGCCTCAATTTCTTTCTCCGATAAATGGCCTGGTAAGAGTTAATATGAGGCTCAGATGGAGATTATGTACATACAGTAGCTAGCAGATAATAGGTACTTAATAAGTAGTAGTTGTTATTAATATGTTTTTAATTTATTTTTAGGTCTACTTTATTAAATAAGTAGTCCCTGTTCAGCCTGCAAAAATTAGGAAATACAGAAAAACAATAATGAAGTTGACATTTCCCCACATTTCTCTTACCTAACAACAACGAATTTGGTTTTAGACAGGTTGGAAAAGTAGGTTATGTTGGTTTCCTAGAAGTTGGAGATGCAACAACCGTAAGTCAAGGTGAGAAATTGCAGAAACTGTTAACCTGGATACCTGAGATGGGCCTGATAAAGTCTGTGGGCAGGGGAGAAAAGATGGCATCCCTGTGTGCACCCTTGTGACATAAACCAGCCTCCCCCAGCGTCCTGTGGTTGCCGGGTGCTGTTGTTCAGGTACTGCACTCCAGTGCATTCGAGGGGCCAGAGCAATCTGGTTCATACAGGGTTCTTCCATTCCTCAGCTGGTACATAGCTCTTTGTGGAATAGTTGGTGCCTCTGTACTTGGCACAATAGGATGGTTAGTCCAGGAAATTTTGAATGTTTTATCAGTCATCCTGAAGGACTACACCCACTCTATTAAACATATGTAATAAGGGTCATATGACTGTCAGACTATTGGACAGATTGACATAAGTGAAGATGGAAATGAGTGTGCAAAGCAGACATCGGCACTTGGGTTCTCACCACACTCCCTGGGATATCTACTCATAGCTGTGTCCAGTTTTCCCTCCTGAGTGATATAAATGAATGGGATTGTTGCCTGGGGGCCCTTGCCATCTTTAGACAGCAACGGCTGTGACCTGAGAATGTATATCCTGGCTGGGACCTGGTCTGCCTGGGAACTAGAGGTTTGGCAGCAGTTGTACACACAGCCGAGTGGTAAGGGCCAGGTGCAGGAGGCTAGGTGGTGCACGTTGAACCGATGAGAGGGGCTCCAGACCCAGATTGCCCAGTGCAGTTCCCACTCCACCAACCTGTCAGCTTTATGCCCTTGCCTCCCTCATCAAAATAGAATTCTGAGAACTAAATAGGTAGCATCGTTGAAGAGTCTGCAGTTGGTATTAGTGATTTCAGTGGTAGCTGCTGCTCCCTTTTATTATATATGGGCTTAGTTTACCTTATAAGAGTTGCAACTCTTGAACACTCTAGCTTCCTAGAAGGTGAAAAGTGTAGTGAACCCTAGAAATAACTTAGATGGGCCTCTGTCTTTACAGAACAAGCCTCTGATCACAAAAATTGCCTCTCTATAAATGTATGACCAGCGAGTGCCTCTGGCCTGGGGTCCAGGTGTTGGTCTAGCAGCACCTCAGTGCTAGTCTTTTTGAACTGCAACAGAGAGCAACTCTGCCCTTGGCAACTTAACCACTGTGTTAGCTTAGACTAGGAACCTCATTAACAGTCACTGAACTCTTAATATAAATTGTGGTGTGTTTTTATGATTTTTGGTCTTACTCTCCTTGTTTTTGGTGTTTGTTTTTGTGCAGCAGAGAGTATCAGTTAAAGGGGAGGTGAATGGCAAAAATCCTGAAGATAAGTCTGGGCCTCAAAGTTGGCTAGATGCCCTTAACTTCCTGCTTGCCCTCTGAGTTCCTCAGGGGAGCCTTCAAATTTTTCTGATTCTTCAAGGTTCTTCTCTCCTTCCAATACCTCCTTTAGCTTTCTTTCCTTGACTATTTTAAGCTTTAGAAACCCTGTTCTATTTTATGCGCAGCCCCTGCCTGAGTTTCTCAGTGGCAGCACTGCTGACAGTTTGAGCTGGGTCATTCTCTGTGGTGGAGGCTGGCCTGTGCATTGTATGTTGTTGAGCAGCATCCCTGGAGTCCACCCACCAGATGCCAAGAGTGCCCACCTCCCCAGTTTGACAACCAGCATGTCTCTCTAGACATTGTCAGTGTCTCCTGCAGAGCAGAATTGCTCTGGTTGAGAAGCCCTTATCTGTGCTCTGCCTCTTAGGATCTAATTAAAGCTTTTTGCTTTTTATGTGTCTGTCTTAGTTGAGGTCAAGGTAGCACAGTGGAAGAAGTCAGGCTTTTGTGGTACTACCACCTGATACAGTTCCAGATAAATGGTGGCTCATGGAGTCATCTGGCGGGCAGCCTCGGCCCCTCAGCCACACATACAGGGTTTCCTGTTTTCTCACTGACACTGGGAGTTTGCATGTAGCTCACAGGGTGGTTTGTGCATGCCCCTAGACACCTTGACAGCTACATAGTAGGTCCTCAGTTTTGATTGTTTCACTTTGGTACTTCTGCCTCCTTAACAGGTGTGACAGCCCTTGGATAGCAGGGGCTGCTTGCTCTTTCTTATATCCAGCCCTGTCCTGAGCACCCAAGATGCTTATGTGTTCTCACTGCCTGATTGGTTGTTACTTTCAGCTTACAGACTCTATACTGTGGTTCCTCGCCTGGTCAAGTTTGTGGATGTTCTGACTAACTGGTATGTCAGGATGAACCGTAGAAGATTAAAGGTAAGTGCAGGCTGCTGTTGGGAAGACCAGAAAGTGTAGGAAGTGTGAGAGTTGAGGAAAAATGAGAACAGCCAAAAGGAAAAAGAGCATTTTCAAATGCCCTGACCTTTTTAAGCTATCTTTTTCCTTTTAATTGCATATTAACTGTATTGCCATTTGTTGGTTGGGGAACGCATAAGTTTAGAAGACATCTTGCGTATTTTCAAAGCACAATTATGGACATTCATATTAGAGGGAAAGTCTCAGGCCAAACAGGACTGTACTGAGCAGACCTCTTAAAATCTGAAATAAATTCATGCAGATATTTTTCAGATGTTTTTAGGTAGAGCTGTGATATTGAGAGGGACACCTCCTCACTTCTACCTCTAAAGGGACAGTTACTTGTTGACAAGACTTGTCCTTAAGCCTATTGGGGATATAGGGTGAGTGAAGCATGGATCCTGTCCCAGGACTTAAGCTGTACATAAGCAACAATGGTAGAAAACAAGGAGTGAGGGATGCCCAGACCACTGTCCATCAGTACTGCCTTCAAATGTGTTAACGATAAAATCCCGTAACAAAACAATAATCTTGTTTTTGTTAAATTATATTACACACACATGTACATGTATGTGTGTATATGTACATATATCTAGAAGGACATACACTAAAATGTTTAAAGTAGTTATCTCTGGGTAACTTAATTATGGTTGAGTTTTCCCCTTTTTATTCTTCTTTTTCTTACAATGAACTATTGGTTTTAATAGTTTAATGTGTGTTTTTTATTCACTAGGGTGAAAATGGGATAGAGGATTGTGTTATGGCTCTGGAGACCTTGTTTAGTGTTCTGCTTTCTCTGTGCAGACTTATGGTAAGATGCTAGCCCTGTGGGCTGCTTGTGGTGCCCGGTTGCTGCACTGTCCTCCGTCTGTATCTATTCTGTATTTGTTCCACTAAAAATAGAAATAGAAGTGTTAAAATAACCTAAATTTCTAGTTTCTTTTCAGAAATCTCGTTAGCTTATGTATGTCAAATAACGGCTAAAAAACATTAGCTTTAAAAGCTGGATTCTTTCTTTTCACCCTTGGCAGTACATTTCAGGTCAAGGTCCTTGCATCTAGACTCAAGAGCGGCATACCTCATCTTAATGTAGATTCCTGTAATTGTGAGTAGTGGAGAAGTTCTTGAACTAATAGCTAACCAAACAAAAATATATTGCAAATAGTATTTTACTTGAGACATGTTCCCATCAATTGAAATAAATGACATACAAGTAAAAATTCCAGTTTTAATTTCCTGTATCTTATTTCTGCTATTCCAGTTTAATGTTATAAGGCTTCTATTTATTTCTTAAACGTACATGGAATGAAAACCTGCTTTGTACCAGGTCCCCTGCCTGGTGTCTCATGTCTGACCTCATTCCCCTTCATCCTGTGAAGCAGGTGGTGTTTCCCCAGTTTACAGAGGTTTAGGGACATTCATTCCTCTGCATGTTGACTTGACTGGCATGTGGTCAGGGACTCTTGTTTTTATTATAGACATCCTCAAGAATGTTTTAGGCACTTCTGGCTGTTAGTTCTGCTGCTGTGTTTCATGAGTGTCTAGCTCGCCAAGTTCAAAATGACGTCATTTCTTTCATAGGGCATGTTTTGTAACCTCATGTTCATTTCTGTGCATATTCCCATATCGTTTCTCTAAAATGTTTATGTAGTTGCTTCTCACCCTGAGATCAGTTAATGATGGCTACGTATGAATGACCTGATGTCTTCTGTCCTTACACAGGCCCCCTATACCCCTTTTCTTACTGAATTGATGTACCAGAATCTGAAGACACTGATTGACCCTGTTTCTGTCCGGGACAAGGACACATTCAGTATCCACTACCTCATGCTGCCCCATGTTCGGTAAGAATCAAATATATATAAGCCTCTCCTGGGCCAGGGGAAGGAGAGTTGCCAGAGATGCACTCAAGTGGGGCCCCCAGCTCCCTGCTCCAGCCCCTTCATGCCCTGCCTCCCCCCTGAGCTGCTCCTCAGGCTACAGAATGGATAGGAGGGATGCTTAGTGTGGAATCCCCAGTAGAGCTATGGCAGGTAGGGGTGGGTAGGCCTGTTGGGATCGCTTTGGGGAGCTGCTAGGCACTAAGCAGCAGGCTCAAGCTTGCTGCCTGCTTCTCAGTGTGTGCCCCAAAGGCAGGCATGTGCTGTCCTTCCCAAGAGCCTCCCCGGAAAGCCTAGCTACACCATCACATCTCTAGCCTGACCCTGTTCCTCACTTAAGCATGCCTGTTCTTTGGAATTTTCTCCTTTTGAATCTAATCTCTTTCAAATCCCTACCTCTACCAACCAGAGAGGAATTGATTGACAAGAAAACCGAGAGTGCAGTATCTAGAATGCAGTCTGTGATTGAACTCGGGCGAGTGATTCGAGACCGCAAAACTATTCCAATAAAGGTTTGAGATTTTATATCTGTTTTGCATTGCACATACCTAGATAATTATGTTTTGGAGTATTTTCTTAATATAAAGAGCTGCCAGCAATGGCGTAAATTTCTTTTCTGCAATAAGGGTGTGAATGACTTAGTACTAGCTATGCCTGCTTAGTCTGGAGCTTGAGATTCAGATAAAACATTTAACATTCATTTTTCTGCAGTTTAGAGGACTGGATGCTTATGAACTTTCCCTTCCATTTTCTTTCTAGTATCCTTTGAAAGAAATTGTAGTTATTCATCAGGATCCAGAAGCTCTTAATGAAATTAAATCATTGGAGAAGTATATCATTGAGGTAAGACAGTTGATTTGTTTGATTTGGTCCAAACAAACATCTTGCCTTGGGAAGATTATTTTGGTTAGTACTCTTTAGTCAACTACACTTTGAGTGTATCATTTGTCCTTTTCATTTTTATATCAGTATATACATAAATTTAACCATCCATGGAATTTTACACTTTGCTTTTAGATTCATCATGACTTTTTACAATGTAATTGTAATTCTTTAACAGTGATTTTCAATGTCCATGAATTTTACACCTTTGTTGGATCATTTATCCTTTCATCCACTTCTCTTCCCCAAAGTACTTTTTGATAACTAACACCAAAAAAATCTTTGTTCCTTCAAATTATACAAGTATCAAGTAAACACACACTGGTTGTAAATAAGCACTAGCATCGAGTACAAAGCAAGTCTCCTCTTACCCTGGCCACTCCCTGGTGTCTCATCACCCACTTGTTCACTAGGTTATCTCCTGCTGGGTTGTTCCTAGCATTTTACATACGTGTACACACATTTGTACATACATATACATACATGCACACATCATTGGTTTTATTTGTGAATAGAGAGGACCATATATGTAGTTTTTAACTTATTTTTTTCACTTTATAGTATTTCTTAAACAGCATCCCATGTTAAAACATAGAGATCTAATTTATTCTTTTTGTTCACTTTCTGACTGCATCATAATTTATTTAATTACTCTTATATTGTTGGAAATTTAGGTTTCTGATTACAGACAAAAGGGGTGTGTATGTGTGTGTGTGTGTGTGTGTGTGTGTGTGTGTACATGTGCAAATATGTCACAGTATGGATGTTGGATAGGTTCCTAGAAGTGGAGTTTTGGGGTCAGAAGTTCAAACTGTCATGTCAGTTATCCTCCCAAAAAGCTTTTACCCTGTAATGTTTTAAAAAGAAATATATTTCAAATTTCATTTTTATTCCTTTCACAGGTAGTATTTAAATCTTTATGATAGAAAATAATTAATTTCTATATTTGGTTTTGAATTGCTTGAGAATTCCAGACAAATATTAGAAACCAAGGAGTTTATAACTGTTTAGAAACTTAGAGTTTATAACTAAAAAGCTATAAATTCTATAATCAATGCTTAAGATATGGATAAAAATAGAACTATTTAAATAGAATATCTTAATCACTCTGAGAGCAAATAATATAATAATGTATAATAGCAAAACCAGAAATTTCCCTATAATTTGCTTCAGTTGACAGTTCCATGATATCTCATTTTCATATTTCCTACTGTGCAGTCACCATTTCCTGCTACGTTGGTAATCCTTAACTAGCTAGTATGATGGAGACATGAAATGTTAAGATTTTTTCCAAAAATATTTATTTATTTATTTATTTGGCTGCATCAGGTCTTAGTTGCGGCACACGGGATCTTCAGTGTGGCATGCAGGATCTTTTGTTGCAGTGTGTGGGCTCTTCGTTGTGGCACGCAGGCTTCTCTCTAGTTGTGGCACGCAGGCTTAGTTGCCCCGCAGCATGTGGGATCTTAGTTCCCCAACCAGGGATTGAACCCACATCCCCTGCATTGGAAGGCAGATTCTTAACCACTGGACCACCAGTGAAGTCCCGAAATGTTTTGATTAACTGATTCTTCTAGTTAATTGATAGTTATTTGTGGTGCTTTGAAATTTCTTGAGCACAGGTCACCCTTAAACATGAAGTCCATATTTCTAAGGCTACAGTCCTTGTTAGTTGCGTTAGGCTCAACTTGATTGATCTGAACAGATTTTTTTCATACCATACAATTATTTATTAGTATTATTTACAGAGCCGTGTAGCCATCACCACAGTTTCGTAGCATTTTCATCATCCCAAAAAGAAACCCAGTATCCATTAGCATTCATGCACCATTTTCCCTTCAGTATCCCACCATCCTCTGGCAAACACAAATCTATTTTCTGCCTCTGGATGTGCCCGCTCTGGACATTTTCTATAAATGGAATCATACAATATGTGGTCTTGTGTGTCTGGCTTCTGTGACTTAGCACTAAGGGTCAGTCATGTTATAGCATGTATGCATGCTCCATTCCTTTATATCGCTAAATAATAGTCCATTATATGGATATACCACATTTTGTTTATTCATTCACAATTGATCAACATTTGGGTTATTTCCACTTTTTGGTTGTTGTGAATAATGTTGCTATGAATGTTTGTGTGCAAGTTTTTGTGGACATGTTTTCATTTCTTTTTCATTTCATCTTGTCTACCAAATATAGGAATTGAATGTTAGAAAAGTTACATTATCTACAGATAAAAACAAGTATGGCATTCGCCTAAGGGCAGAACCAGATCACATGGTCCTGGGGAAGCGTCTGAAGGGAGCCTTCAAGATGGTGATGACATCCATCAAGCAGCTGAGCAGTGAGGAGCTAGAGCAGTTCCAGGACAGTGGTGGGTATCTGTTTTATTGGGGGCACCGTTTGTGTCCTCAACCTGATGGGTGTCTCATACTTAGGCTCCTCTTTGATTTCTACTGTCACAGTCTTTTCTTAAATAAGAACTTTTTTTTTCTGTTCATAAAAATATTTATTATGAATAATTCTGATAATTTAGAAAAAAGTAAAAAAAGTAAAGAGAATAAAAATGACCCATAACCGATCACCCATCCATTTAATGTAGACTGAGTGCCTACTGTCTGGTATTTGTTATGTTAGGTGCTGGGGTGCTATTAAAATTCTGATTTATATAATTACAGCTTTACAAAATGGAAATCACATAATTTTAAATTTCACATTTTTCACTCATATATTTTTACATTTTATGTTTTGTTTTTATTTATATTTTTAGTCTGTATTTTCACTTTACAAACATTTTTGTGTGTTATTAGCCTTTAAAATGCTGTTTCAGTAAGTGCTGAAAATATTTTCCTTCCTGTGGATACCAGATAGTGTCTTTTTTTTTTTTTTTGCGGTACGTCGGCCTCTCACTGCTGTGGCCTCTCCCGTTGCGGAGCACAGGCTCCGGACGCGCAGGCTCAGCGGCCATGGCTCCCGGGCCTAGCTGCTCCGCGGCATGTGGGATCTTCCCGGACCGGGGCACGAACCCGCATCCCCTGCATTGGCAGGCGGACTGTCAACCACTGCGCCACCAGGGAAGCCCCGGATAATGTCTTTAACCAGTCTCTTATTGTTGGTGCTTTAGGTTGTTTCCATTCTTTTAATAGTACAACTAATATTTCAGTGAATATTTTCACATATAAGTGTTTTGTGGAATTGATTCCTTTTGGCTAGATTTCTAGATAGAAATTACTGAGTCAGAGGGATGGACCTTAAGTTACCATTGAACTCTATAAATGCTAATGTGGGCCTAGAAAAATCTACCCTAGTGAGAGAGCAGAACCCCCTGAGATTCACCAGCCAGTGGTATAGAGTGTTATTGTTATCAGATGTTGCTTGTAGAGAAAAAGATGGTGACTTTTTAGAGGTGCCAGAATGAAAACTAGAAGATATTCAAAAGAAAAAAGATATGTTTTAATTTTAATTCAAAATTTAAATTTAAAATTTTAAATACTTAAGTATTTTTAGAGAAAGGGATTTAGCATTGAGGTTTGGGGCTTCTTGTGAAGGAGGACTGGGTCAGAACTTATTATAGTTTCTCTAAAATATCTAGAATACATATGTTGGTCTCAATTGAGCAAGACTGGAGTCATTCATTCAGCAAATATTTTTTAAGGCCCTTCTGTTTGGTTGGCACTGGGAACATAGAGTAAAATAAGGTAGACATTGTCCTTACCCTCATGGTGCTGGCAGACACTAAAGATTTATGGACATAATCATAGTTTTGATAAGTACACTGAAGGAAATCTTTAGGGAGCTTTTCCAGGTGCCCAGGAGTTCCCAGCTCTGCCATGATTAGAATCATATGTGGTCTAATTATGGCCACTTGACATCCTGTAGCAATCCTAGGGCATGAGTTCTTTGATTGTTGGGGTTCCCTCTGAAGTTGAAAATCATAAGCATGGAAGTGTCATGAGGAAAGATTTAAAGATTCAGAAATCAGATGGGTAGTTATGGAAATTGGGGGAAATGTCCCTAAGATTCCCCAAATTTTTAGGTAAAATTTATAAAACATAAGAGGCTAGCAACTAAAAGTTGAGTTAGTACTAATTTAACTTGATTTGTTAAATTAACAAAATTAAAGGATCAGCCTTCAAGTCACAAATCTTAAGTTGTTTCACCAGTTAGCCAAAATATTAAAAATTCCTCAAATAAACCTTATTTGAAACGGAAAGCCTACAGTTTCTAAGCTATAGTTTCTGAATGGACTGTTCTGCATTGATGGAAAGCAAAGTAGTTTTCAGAATGCAGTGACATAAAGTGAAAATGGCAGCCAGTTGCTCAAAGACCAAGAAGATCATTTGTGAGTTACCATAATAGGCTTTCCTTATGATGGGAACTGCCATCCTTAGCTGTTTATACATTCTGCCTTCCATGAATAGGCATGATGCTCAGAACTTCACACTGTCTACCTTTTTTCACCCTCACTGCACTCTGATAGGCAGATAATAGAACACCAGGGTCCTACAATCAATGAGTGGTGGGCCTAAGTCCAGTTTGACTCTACAGACTGTGCTTTCTTCATTATAGCGTGCTTTCTCCATCATAAACATGCTTGCTCATGTTTATGGTGGAGTTTCGTTGCCTTCTGGCACATGTCTTTGGACCTGGGAGCTTATATACAGCGGTAGATATCAATGGTGATTTAAGTGTCCTCAAGATAGCATGGTGCAGTCTAAAGAAAGTTTGTCTCATCCTTGACCTCAACAATGACATGAGTTCAGAGGACATATCTCTTGAAGACTGTGTAGCTTGATTATATGAAGGTTTTATTAAAGAGTGGCAAAATATATTGGTAGCAGGGCAGCTTGAGTGGGGTACTGATTGAGTAACAGTGGCAGTTGTTTCCCCAATAGGGACCATTGTTGTGGAAGGCCATGAACTGCATGAAGAAGATATCCGCCTCATGTACACCTTTGATCAGACAACAGGTGGAACGACACAGTTTGAAGCACACTCAGATGCTCAGGTATTTTTCTGTTCCCTAGAATATTTCTTTACCAAAAGATAAGAACATAAGAGGAGAAAACATTTACCTATGCCTCTCCTGACAGTATTGGCAGCTTGTCTCAGGGTAAAATAAACCAGTTATTTATTTTAGATTGGCCTTATTAAACTCCTCTATTATAACTTCTTGACATATGTATTTCTTTAATGAATACATAAATTGATATCTTGTGACTTTATGCATGCAGTTGTCCTAAGTGTTGGGTCATACAAAAATGAGTAAGATGTAATCCCACCCTTCAAGGAATGAGTCTGTCATGGAGATAGAAAAGTAAGTCAATTCTTATTACTGTACTTGATAAGTTATCTAGTAGAAATAAGTGCTCCTATTTGAAGTCTGGGGTAGCAGTGGGGGTGGTTAGAGAGCACCCCTTGAAGAGGATGTACAAGCAGTTTTGCATTCTGGGGTCTGTCTTTTTTTGTTGTAATGGGTCACAGCATCTCTCTTCACTCTTGACCAGACTTCTCCAGGCAGATAGGTTGTAAGGTCTCCATTGTGAGAGTGAGGGACCTGCTGGAGTCCCTCTGTGCTTAATATGCCACATACAGGGGAATATGCCTCGTATGAGGCAAGCCAACCTCCTCCAGCCTTTACACAGGGTTTGTTTGTTTGGTTGGTTGGTTTTTTTGGCATGCCATGTGGCTTACAGGATATTAATTCCCCGACCAGGGATTGAACCCAGATCCCCAGGAGTGAAAGCACCGAGTCCTAACCACTGGACCACCAGGGAATTCCCATACACAGAGTCTTAAATATGATGTAGACAGAACTCCATGTGGGCAGACAGTGGTAAGGAGCCAAAGGTGAGGAAACTAGGAAAGAAGGAATTGGGGCCAGGGAAAGAGATTTGTAAACAGTGAGAGGGTGCAGTCCTTTCTGATTACAGCCAAATGAGAGAGTCCTGAAGTCGTCTATACTTAAGGAAGTGTTGTCTGTGATGCTTCTGAGTTTCTTGACATGATTTGTGTATTGTGGGCCATGGTTGCCCTGCTATGACACATTATCCATTTCCAGTTTGCCTCCTGTGCCTTCATGAAGTGCAGCAAGTTTGTTAACTTCTCTCATTGAGTGTCCTCAAAAACATAAATGGGGATGATGCCTAACTTATACGTATGTTCCCCTCTATAGTAGAAGTGACAGTCATTATTATCACATCATCATTGACAGCCTTTATGACCAATGAGATAAAAAAGTAGTTAAAGTTGACAAGAAGGTGGCAATTTAAACTAAACCATATAAAAAAAGAAAGTATGGTGGCCCATTGTAGAAATTGTGTCTTGAATCACACCAACAAACCAAAGAATAGAGTCATGGTTAAAGAAAACAACAGATGGCGACTTTGAGATCTTCAGTCCACTTGTTTGTGGTGGATGCATTGTGAAAAGTCGTGCTGCTGTAAGAGCTTCATGATTGGTGATTTTATTTATTAGAAGAGTTGATATTATTCATTAGATAGACAAAAAGCAGAGTTACATGAGAGACTCTCTTGAAAGTCGGTCTCAGGACATCTCCTGTGAGCAGCACCCTACAGAAGAAAAATGAGAAGTCTCTCCTTTCTTCAGAGATGTAGGATTAGCTGTTTATAAAGGAGGACCCAAACATAAAGAAACCACGTTAATTTTGTCTTTGGCTCAGGTGTGTGACTAAATAATGCTGCATTATAGACTTCTGAGAATTTAAACACCATTTTGCTGAGTTTGAAAGAACTGTTTTTCTATATTTGATTGTCATGGTGTACACTGTTCATTCCTACAGGTTTTGGTTCTCTTAGACGTCACCCCTGACCAGTCAATGGTGGATGAAGGAGTGGCTCGGGAAGTCATCAATCGTATCCAGAAACTTCGAAAAAAGGTCAGCTTGTCAGATTAAGAACAAGCTGCTGTTTTGGAGTTTTGTTTTGGTTTTTTTGTTTGGTATTTGTTTTGGTTTTGGGGGAGGAGAGGAGGGGCAAGTAATATAAACCATAGTAATTCATTAATGATGATTAGTCACTGATCTGTGGTCCATTCAGATTGTACTGTTAGGAGAGGTAGGCCACTTCCTTTCTCTCCTGTTCACTCCCAAGCTGGATGTGGCTCTTTTGTTTCTCTGATCAGAAGCTTTCAGCTAACATGTGCTCCTTGTCCTTTTTCAGTTCTTTACGGCTTCCACAAAACCATCTTCTGGATAGATAGTCCTCCTGACTGGCACATAAGGTTGTCAGAGCTGACAGCAAATGTCTCTGAGGAAGAGCAGAGATGCAGTCAGTGTGGAAGGACTCCTAGCTCAGGGAGAGATTGTTGGATCTGGACAGAGTGAGGTGGTTCTTCCTCATTCAGAAGTTGGGAGCCAGGACAGGTGCACAGAACATTTGCCTGCCCCTACTGGGTGAGAGAGCCAGGGAGCTTCTGTCCCACGGAGGGCTCCCACAAGTCCTCCTCCTCTGGCCAGGTTTCTTAGACCTGTAGTTCAGGGTCTGAGGTGGCCACTCCAGCAGATAATGGGATACTTGTAACCTCTGTCTCAGTTCAGAGCTTTATGAGTTGTTACTTGATCACTCCTTTTTTCAGAGAATTGGTCAGGATACTGTACCCTTCCATAATGATTCAGTGTGGGATCATCAGCCGTGTTTAACAGCGCCTTACATTTTAATTGACAAATGTGCTTCCCTTTTAAATTTTCTCTATGTGCTTTCAGTGCAATCTGGTTCCAACTGATGAAATAACAGTTTATTATAAAGCAAAATCTGAAGGAAAGTATCTGAATAATGTTATCAAAAGCCACACAGAGTTCATATTTGCCACCATAAAGTCTCCTTTAAAACCATATCCAGTTCCTACATCAGATGAAATCCTTATTCAAGAAAAAATGCAGGTGAGTTCTGAGTTCTGTTGAACATTAAGAGATTTAGGATTAGATTTTATGTTAAGTTTATGTAGTTACATCTTGATGTTCTGTCCCCCGGTAGCAATTAGTATAGTACTCAGTCCTGAAGTATTGCTCTGGAGAATAGTGAGTAGAGTCCAGAAGAGAAAAAAGGGAAATTAGAGCCGTTCTCTTTGGGAAGGTAACTAGGATATACATAATAATTGCCAGGTTAGATGACTGTATGGTGCTGTTTTATCTAAAACTATAAAAGTCAGTATTGTGGATTCTAGTGCTTACTGTTAAACATAAAGAGCAATTGACTTGAAAAGCAGTTTACTTTTATGGTAGTAGGTTATACATAAAAATATAATTTCATTTCCTGTTCATACATTTTAGATGTAACTCTGAAAATCTGACCAAGACATGAAAGGTATTGGTTAATAATTCAGAAGTATGTCTGATAAAAATTCTTTTCTATATCAGTTAGTCATTTATTCAGTCATATGTTCCTTGTCTTTTTCTACTTTGTATGGGACAAATGGAATAGAAAAGCAGGACCTGAATGTGACTGTCTTTTCAGTGGCACAAGTTACAAGATGGTTTCATTTTCTATTTTGCATGTTTTCTAAGGAACAAGGAAAAAAGAGGGGAAAAATTGTAGCTCTTCACTGTTTTAGTGTTGAGATTGAATATGCTCTCAGAATTGTATAGAGCTCTTATTCGACACTGTGGTCAGATGCTACAGGTAGCTGCTCACATATTCTCATGTGCTTAGTTAAAAGGGTCAGACCTGGAAATTACACTCACCAGAGGATCTTCCATGCCTGGCCCTGCTTGTGCATATGTCAATCTTAACATTTGTACAGATGGCAGTGAGCAAGGTAAGAGTGACCTCCATTGTTTGTATTTTATTTTTTAATTAAGCCTATGAATGTTTTTAAGGCTATTACAAGAGAATTGGTAAAATTGGATAACTTTTTCTTTCTAATTGTCATCAAAATGAATCCACAAAAGTAAGTGATTGAACTAGCACTTCTAGAAAGATGGAGTAGACATACTTTTCCCTATTCCTCCCACAAAGTACAGCTAAACACCCCAGACATGATATATAAAAACAAGCATAAGAAAACTCTTAATGGTAGAGGGAAGAAGGCAGACCAACTAGGGATCTTGGGAACAAGTAAGAAAACAATGGAGAGTTCCCTGGTTTTTCTTTTTGCTTCATGTATCCCAGGCTTGGAGCTGAAGAAGCTGGCAATCTGGAAATGCCAATGGGCATGGACGTAAATACCCCAATAAAATCCTGCTCTCTGCAGGTGGGACCAGGAGAGTGGCAACCAAGCAAGACAAAAAAACTTCCAGACAGTAACTGCTCTACTCCACCCAAACAAGACAGAGGAAACTAGGCTCTACTACCATTCACACCAGAAGAGCCAAGTGGGGAGCCTAGACCTTTCCCAGGCTGAGGACCCTCAAGCCCTCACTGCCATGGTGGTATCAGAGAAGACCAAGCAGTGAGCTGGGACTTTCATCCTACCTGGGTGATAACGAGCTCTTTTGCCCAGCAGTGTCATTGTAGACCACGTGGAGAGCCTAAACTTCTATCCCCATCAGGCAATAATAAGGCATCCCTTCCCCTTACCACTGCCCAGAAGTAGTGAGGCCACATATCCCACCACCCTGTCAAGATGTCAGTGAAGGCCACATGGGGAGCAGTAAGGAGGCATTCCTACTCTTTGTGGCCAGGGGAGGCATTAGTGGAGGTCTAGAGGAGAACAGGAACTCCTTTCTTGCATCACCTTACCCCTCACCACCACCCCACCACCCCCGCCCCAGAAGTAACAAGGAGTCCTGACCTCAGTGTCAATGCAAGCTAAATAGGGAACCCGGACTTCTCTCACTAATCAGTGATGAAGCAGTATTCCCTTTCCCTCGCCAGTGTAATGTCAAACAAAGTCAACTAAAATAGAGGATGTAAATAAGAACCAGAGTCTCATAATGCCTAACATGTCCAGGTTTTAATTGAAAATTATTCATTATACCAAGAACTGGGAGATCTTAAACTGAATGAAAAAAGTCAATCAGTACATAGGAACACCATGATGACAGAAACGTTGACATTATCTGACAGAATGTAAAGCAGCCTTAACAAAAATGCTTCACAGAACAATTACAAACACAATAGAAACAAGTGAAAAATAGCCTCAGTAAACAAGTAAAAGATATAAAGAATAGAATTAAAATATTAGAACTGGTAAATACAATAATTAAAATACAGAAACTCAGTGGATGGGCTCAACAACAGAATAGAAGAGATAGGAAAGAATCCATAAACAGGAAGAAATAACAATAGAAATTACCCATTCTGAATAACAGAGTTAAAAACAAAAAAGCTTAAAAAACTGAACAGAGCCTGAAGGATCTGTGGGATAATAACAAAAGTTTAATATTCTTGTCACCGCATTCTGGAAAGAAGAGAAGATAGGACAGGACTGAAAAAGTGTTCAAAGAAATAATGTCTGAAAACTTCCTAAATTTGGCAAAACACATAAACCTACAGATTCAAGAAGCTAAGAAAACACCATACAGGATAAATCCAAAAGAATTCACATCAGACATAACATAGTAAAACTTCTGAAAACTTAAGGCCAAGAAAACATCTTGAAAGCAGTGACAGAGATGTTGCAATACCTAACTTCTAGGGGAAGAACAATTTGAATCATTGGATTTCTCATCAGAAATCAGTAGAGGTCAGAAGATGAAAGGACAACATTTCTCAAATGCTAAAAGATGAGTATTGTCAACCCACAATTTTATATCAAGCAAAAATATCTTTCAAGGTAAAGGGATAATCAAGACATTCTCAAATGAAGGAAAACTAAAGAATTTGTTACTAGCAAGACTTACTCTAAAAGAATAGCTAGAGGAAATTCTTAAAACAGAAAATGATAAAAGAGGAAATCTAGGGACATCAGAACAGAGGGGAAAAAAATTGAAAGAGTCAAAATACAGATAAATTCAACAGACTTTTCTTCTTGAATTTTTAAAATTTATGTTTGATGGTTGCAACAAAAACTAAAACCTCTAAATGCATATGCAAGGAATATTCAAGATAGTTATAAATAGGGAAGAGCAAAGGGATGTAAAGGGAGTTAAGATTTCTACACTTATCTCAGACTGGTAAAATGTCAACACCAGTGGTTATGTATATATAGTGTACCACCTAATGCAACCACTATAAAAGCCTACACTAAAAGATACATACAAAAACACTAAACAAATAAAAATGGAATTCTAGAATATGTTCAAGTATCCTACAGGAAGCATGGAAAAAGAAAGTAGAACAAATACAAAGCAGAAAATAAAATGGAAGGCTTAAACTTAACATCAGTAATTACGCTAAATGTAAATGGTGTAAATACATCAATTAATAGAGATTGGCAGAGTGATAAAAACACATTATCCAGCCTTTTGCTGTGTACAAGAAAGTCCTTAAATATAACAAAATAGGTAGGTTGAGAGTAAAAGGCTAAAATAGGATATACCATGCAAGCATTATTCAAAGAGAGCAGGGTGTCTGTGTTCATTTCAGTGAGTACACTTTATAGCAAAGAAACTTACCAGTGATACTAAATAATGATATAATGTCAACCCAGAGGAAAATATAATGATCCTAAATGTATATGTACCTAACAACAGAGCTGCTTAAATACATGAAACAAAAAAAACTGTTAGACCTTGAACAAGAACAAAAAAACCCGTAATTATAGTTTGAGAGAACAGTTAGACAGAAAATCAGAATCTAATCAGTATTTATGGAACACCCCACCTAACAGCAGCAGACTACACATACTATTCATGTTCCCATTTACCAAGGTATATTATAGCCTAGGCCATAAAATAAATCTCATCACATTAAAGAGTTGAAATCATATAGAGTATGTTCTCTGACCACAATGGAATCAAACTATAAATCAATAACAGAAAGGTAAAAGCAAAACCTCAGCACATTTGAAAGCTAAAAAACGTACTTCTAAATAATCCATGATCAGGGAAAAAGTGTTAAGGAAAAACAAATGCGTAAAACTCAATGAAAAGGAAAATACAGTATCAAAATATGTGGATTACAGCTAATTTGTACCTCTGAAGACTAACATTAGAAAAGAAGAAAGTTTTGATCAATAATCTAAGTTCCAACCTCAAGAATCTAAAAAAGAAAGTAAGCAGAAAGAAGGAAAATAAAAATAAGAACAGAAGTGAAAGCAATTGAAAATAGGGGAACAATAAAGATAATAAAACAAAAAATGTGGTTCTTTGAAAAAATTAATAAAATCAATAAACCTCTAGTGAGACTGACATAGAACCAAAGAAAACACTAATTACCAATATCAAGAATAAAATAGTAAAAGTTTACATTAAAAAAAAGAAAAAAGAATAAAATAGGACATGAATACAGACTGCAGAAATCAAAAAGATAAGTAAATACTGTGAATAACTCTCTACACATAAATTTGACAACTTGGATGAAATGAACCAGTTTCTCAAAAAGCACAAACTGCCTCAACTCACTCATATGAAATAGATAATTTCAGTAGCCCTATAGCTATTAAGGAGATTGAACTCATAATTTAAAAACTCCCTAGAAACTTTGATTGTAAATTTGATTTTTTAGTTGAGTTTAATGGCATCACTGATGGTGTTGCACAATACAGATGTCCATCAAAAAGGGACATAGACATATTCATAATGTCGGTTCCTCATACCAGTTAAAAGTAATGAAATGTATCTCTGTGTATAAATTTTTCTATATTTAAAAAACATTTTCAATGAAAACAAGTTTCACAATTAAATATACAATAGCGAGCATTCATGTAAATTTTAAAAATACATCATCACACATTGTTTATGAACATATAGAATTATGAAATACGAGAACATGGACTTGAAAAACAAAGTTCATAATAAGTCTTGGGAAAGGGAGGAAGGGAAACTGAGGAAAAAAGTAAAAGAGATGGCAATTTTAAAAAAGTAATGAAACTCTCAAGAAATCTCCAGATCCAAATGGTTTTGCTAGAGAATTCAACCAGACTTTAAAAGAATAAACACCAGTTCTACACAGATCTTCCAGAAAATAGAAAAGGAAGGAACACTCCCTAACTCACTTTATTCCATAATAAAGTATTGACACCAAAACCAGATACAAACAATACCAAAAAAAGAAAACTACAGATATCTCTCATGCATATAAATGTACAATTCTTAACAAAAAATCATGAAATTGAATATAGCAGTATATACAAAGAATTATGTATCATGACAGGTGAGGTTTATTCCAAGGTTACAAGGCTGGTTCAGTATTCAAAAACCAATCAGTATAATCTACCATATTAACAGACTAAAAGCTTATAAGACTATACCAGTTAGGAAAAGCATTTGACATAATTCAATGTTCATTCATGATAAAAAAAAAAGTCAGAAAAATAGGGAGAGGAACTTCATCAACTTGATAATGAGCATCTGTAAAAAACCTATAGTTAACATTATACTTAATTGGAAGAGATTGAATGTCTTCTGTGTAAGATCAGAACCAATACCCGTTCTCATTACTCTTATTCAGCATTGCATTAGAAGTTCTTGCCAGTAGAATGAGGCAAGAAAAGAAAAGCCATGCAGATCAGAAGGGAAGCAATAAAACTGTTTCTATTTGAAGGTGACATGATTGTCTACATAGAAAATTGCAAGGAATCTACAGACTGAGATGTATACTGGGACCCCTCCGTTGCTTTGCCACCAGCACTGTTACCAGCTATTCCCAGGATGTTTGTGTATCCATTTGGACCTGTGATGATACCTCGGGCAATACGTGGTCCTCTACACTGCTGCACAAGTTCAGTGATGTGTGGCATGTGAGCTGGTCCATCACTGCCAACATTCTGCCTGTCTTAGGTGGAGACAGGTGATCCTGTGGAAGGAATTAGTCGCAGGAGCAGAGGATGTGCATAAGAAATGTCAACAGGGCCAGCGTTTTTTGTCAGCTTTAGTCACAGAAGGTCAGCAGAATGAGCAGTGACAAAACAGATGGGGCCTAGCTCCCCCATCTGCTGACTTCAGTACTGCTTCTTTCTGGACCAACTGACCAAACAACTAGGAAGAGCTCACAACTCCAACAAGATGATTTTCCCAGGATTGATTTCAAATGCAACCACAATTTATCATCTGCATCAACATGATGCGATATGGTTTGTAATTTACTGTCTGACTGAAAGCATTCATGTTATGAGGAAAAAACTACAGGTGATCTTGATATTATTTTAAAGTATTTTGGCTAGTTTTATATACCATTTGGGTTTAAGCTTTAATTGGGAGGGTTTGTTTCCAAAGTAATTGAATAAAATCTATTACTTTTTAAAAAATCATATTGCTTATAAAAAGAAAAAGGTTTTCATCAAATTCACAGGATATAAGATAAACATACAAAAATTAATTTTTATATTCTAGCAATGAACACATGGAGAATGAAATTTAAAATGTAATACCATTTACAATTGCTCAAAAGAGACATACTTTGGTATAAATCTAATAAAACAGGTAAAGGACTTTTATGTCAAAAACTACAAAATAATGATGAAAAAATCAAAGATCAAAATAAATGGAGAGAGACTTCCCTGGTGGCGCAGTGGTTAAGAATCTGCCTGCCAATGCAGGGGACACAGGCTCGAGCCCTGGTCTGGGAAGATCCCACATGCCGCGGAGCAGCTAAACCCACGCGCCACAACTACTGAGCCTGTGCTCTAGAGCCCATGAGCCACAACTACTGAGCCCACCTGCCACAACTACTGAAGCCCACGTGCCTAGAGCCCGTGCTCCACAACAAGAGAAGCCACCACAATGAGAAGCCCACGCACTGCAACGAAGAGTAGTGCCCGCTCGCCACAACTAGAGAAAGCCTGTGTGCAGCAACGAGGACCCAACGCGGCCATAAATAAATAAATAAGTTTAAATAAGTAAATGAATGGAGAGACATGCCATAATCATGGGTTAGAAAATTCAATATAATAAACCTGTCAGTTCTCCCCCAGTTAGTATATAAGTTTAACTCAGTCCTGTCAAATCTCAGCAATATTTTGTTGTAGATATAGCCAAATTTTCTTGAAAGAGAAGAAAAATAAAGTAGTTAAAACACTTTTGAAAAATAAGAATATAGTGGGAGAAATCACCCTGCCCAACTTCAAGACTTATCTGAAGACTTGTGTGGCATGAGCATTGAATAGACACAAAAATCATTGTCACAGATACAGAATACAGAAGTAGACTCACAATAGATCACAAAATGGGGCCAGATGATTTTTGAGAAAGGAGCAAAAGCAACTTAATTGAGTAGTCTTCATTATATGGTACTAGGCAGTTAGATATCCACATGCAAAAAAATGTCCTAGACCTAAGTCTTACACCTTATACAAAAACTAACTTAAAATGGATCACAGACTTGCTTCCCTGGTGGCTCCGTGGTTAAGAATCTGCCTGCTAATGCAGGGGACATGGGTTCGAGCCCTGGTCTGGGAAGATCCCACATGCCACAGAGCAGCCAAGCCCGTGCACCACAACTATTGAAGCCCTCGCGCCTAGAGCCTGTGCTCTGCAACAAGAGAAGCCACCTCAATGAGAAACCTGCATACCGCAACGAAGAGTAGCCCCCATTCCCACAACTAGAGAAAGTCCGTGCACAGCAACGAAGACCCAACACAGTCAGAAATAAATAAATAAAATAAATTTATTTTTAAAAAAAACATAAAACATTTAGGAAAAAACCAAAATTTTTAGAATTCAGGATTAGGCAGAGTTTTTAAGACTTTATACCAGAAGTCCAATCCATAAAAAGAAAAACTGATAAATTGAACTTCTTCAAAATTTTAAATTCTTTGTGAAAGATCCTGTGAAAAGGATGAAAAAACAAGCTACAGACTAGGAGAAGATCTTTGCAAACTTCTTATCCAGCAAAGGATGTATCTAGAATATATGAAGAAGTCTCAAAACTCAACAGTTTCTTTTAGATCTAATTAGAAAATGGGAAAAGACGTGAATAGACATTTACCAAAGAAAATATACAAATGATGTGTTCCCCTTGACTTTTTATTCAAATTTAACTTTTTTTTTCTTCAGTTTCACTTATATTTTTGGCTTTTTAGGTGGAGTACTACTTCTGGAAAATCCAAAAGGAGATAATAGGTTGGACCTTCTAAAGCTGAAGAGTGTTGTTACTAGCGTTTTTGGTGTAAAAAATAGAGAGCTGGCTGTCTTCCATGGTGAAACAGGTGTGTAGAAAGTCAAAAGATATTCATCTATGTCCTTTGACATGAGATTGATCATTAAGGATCTTAATTTGGTAACATAACCTTTGCCTTTTTCCTGACTCTGAGTCAGGGCCAGCCTCTACAGTAGTGCCTGCCTGCAAGTGTCTCTTTATGCTTTCTTTGTGTGATATGGCTGAAAGAACACTGGACTTACTAGGAGATGAAGGTTCTAATCCTACCCTTTACTGTTAGCCATGTGATGCATTCTAGGCTTCAGAGACTTCCCTGTTGTGTTTTAACTTTATTAAACATAGTGTCTGCATCTTGCTAAATCCAGCGTCTTGCTAAATCCAGATTCTCAATGAGACAAGCCTAAATAAAATTTTAAAGAATTATAAGTACATTTCCTCCCACTGTCATGGGTTGAATTGTGACATCACCACCGAATCCCCCACCTCTACCCCAAGATGGGTTGAAGTCCTTATGTTTACCCCCAGTACCATCTAATGTGACCTTCTTTGGAAATAGGTTCATTGCAGATATAATTAGTTAAGGTAATACTGGAGTAGGGTGGGCACTACTCCAGTATGACTGGTGTCCTTATAAGAAGAGGGCCATGTGAAGACATAAACAGGGAGAAGGCTATGTGGTGACAAAGGCAGAAATTGGAATTAGGCAAACCTGCAAGCCAAGAAACACCAAAGATATTGGGAACCTCCAGAAGCTAGGAAGAGGAAAAGAAGGATTCCCTTACAGGCTTCAGAGGGAGCATGGCCCTACTGACACCTTGATTTTGGACTTCTCACCTGCAGAGACTGTGAGACAATAAATTTCTGTTGTTTTAAGCCATCCCACCCACCCCACCCCACCTCCCTCCCCAGTTTGTGATTCTTACAGCAGACAAAGGAAACTAATACACTCACTTAACAAACCTGAATGTTCATTTTCAGAAACTTTTAAATATCAGTAGCTTAAAAGAAGAAATATAAATGGCCAATAAATAAAGGGAAAACTGCTGAACCTCAATAGGAAAAACCACAATGAGGTACTATCACATGTAACTGAATTGGCAAAAGCTAGAAGAATTTCACAATATCAGATGTCAGGGATATTATGTAATAGGATTTGTCATTCCCTGTTGGATTGTAAATGGATAGAAGCACTGTGGACAGCCATTTGCTAAGGCTGGATAAGGGAAGCAAACATGATGTGGGGAAACTGAGGAAGTTAAGGTCTGGAAGACAGATGGTTCACTGGGGGCTCTGAGGAAAATCTCTCACCAGGATCCACCAAGGGGAGCTGGTAAGTAAGTCAGTGGACAACTTGGATCTCTATCTCAAGTCACTGTAGAATAAGAAGCAAGGACATACTGGAACTCACATCTGTCTAGCTCACTGTCCCCTCTGATCCAGCAGGCGGCAGCCTGTGAAAGCTGAGTAATGCCTGAGCCCCACCTTAACCTTTAGTGGCATAGTGGCTGTAACCAATCTTCTACCCTAAGCAATGTTTAATTGTATATAAATGAAATTACACTATGTGTGTTCTGTGTGTCTTGCTCTTTTCCACATATGTTCATTAGTCAGCTTATCTTCTGATCATAATTATCTTTTTTTAATATAAGCCTCCTTTTCATGGTAAAGTTTAGGATTCTGATATAAGAGGAAATTTTAAGAGGAGCTATATAATATGGAGGAAAAATACTAAAAGGGGAAAAAACAATTTGCCTTATAAGTTATGAATATTATGCTATTTTGCAACATTAAGATTTCCTACTATTTGCATGTCATTAAAGCCTGATTTTATAGAAAAGACAGTATCCTTTGATAAATAGAAATAAAGTGGAAAGCATCACTGTAAAGATACATGATAGTTTAATAATTAAATAGGGAAAAGTGAATGACTTCAGCTCTGAACTTTCCCCCTGAAAGAATGATTTTTTTGTTGTTATTTTTAGAAATAAAAAAGCAAACCAACTTACTGAGTCTTAGTGGAAAAACACTTTGTGTGGCTGCAGGATCAACTCCCTCTGTGGTCAACAGTCCTAGTACTCTTCTCTGTCAGTATATCAACCTACAGCTCTTGAATGCAGACCCACAAGGTGCGTGCCTCCCCCAGCTGTGGACACCCTCAGCAGGCAGGTTATGGTGTGCTAGATGTTAAGATTTCCTTTAATGTTCAATCTCTCTGATTTATATGGATTTTTTAAGTCAGCTTCAACTTGGTAATTTAAAATATAGACTAGCACTTCTTTGGGGAATACTCACGGCTTGTTTCTTTTGGTGTATTTATGTAGAAACACCCCTCCATCTGATATGGTCAGGAAATGAGGTAAATTGGTTAGGTAAAAATAACAGCTAAACGAAGCTGAACTGTTTAAATGTCAGAACATTGTAGTCTTAAATTTTGCCTTCTTTTTTTCTTGGAAAATGTTCTGAGAACTGTTGTACATATCCATGCCTTAATCAACAGACTAGATCGATACTTATTTTTCCTTGATATTTTGGGGTCCTCATTGTGCACATTTATTACTGTCTTCAGGCTCTTCATTTGACTGTTTACTGAATATCTCTTCCCTAAACTACTGGGCTTTTATACTAGTTGTTTTTTCTTCTTCCCTTTCTCCTTTCCCCCTGTGAAATATTTAAGACTGTTTCTGCAGACTGTACAATTAATCCCACTCTTGCTCTTGTACTCACTGCTGGCTTTCAAAGCCAGCACCACTATCTACTCACTACCTCCATTAGGGATCCACTAGCTAGAGGGTGAACTCTCAGGATTTAATCCATTTTGGGTTTTTTTTTTTTCTGTAGAGTGTTTAATGGGAACAGTAGGCACTCTCCTGCTTGAAAATCCACTTGGGCAGAATGGGCTGACCCACCAAGGTCTTCTGTATGAAACAGCCAAGGTGTTTGGCCTTCGGAGCAGGAAGCTAAAACTGTTTTTGAATGAGGCTCAAACAGAAGGTGAGGAGATTATAGAACGTGCTAATTGTTTTTCATTTTTGTTTTTATTTTATTGAAAATAGATTGTGATGCCATCAATTATATGTGTAAGAGATAGTACTATTGTTATACTTTTTTTCTTTTTTTTTGCTCTTTCTCCAGAAATTTGCCATACTATAAATGTTAAAATAATAATAATCAAAAGGATGATATGTATAAAATAGATAATAAGAAAAAAAATAATTAAAAGGATGATTACTTTTTGCTTTGGAAATAATCTAAAAACTATATTGGTATATTAAAATACATGCTTCTAGGTAAATTAGCTTATTTGCTGATCCTAAAATTGTCCTCTTCCCCGAGAATCAAAATGTTCACTGTATTTTAAAATAACAGCTTGAAGGAAACATAACTGACATTGTACTTCCTCCTTAACAACTTAAAAAGCATACCTTTTCTCAGTGAGCTGCATAAAAATGTGAAGAGCTAGGTCATTAGTTGACATATTCTCCATTCCATAATTCAGAAAACAGAGTCAGGATAGAGTCAGGATAAGGCACAGGCTAGTGTCTTCGAGGATATGTTTTCTCTTTCTCCCGCTTATATCATCCACTTCTGTGATTTCACCTTCTGTGGCTGTTCTGACAACTTCTCTAGTGACATTTTAGCCCTCCCCCGAGTTCTGTTCTATATTCGATTCCCTGTTACACATGGGTGTTCATTTTAGTGCTGCTGCCACTGGAATCATTTCCTCAAACAGCTTCTGCTGATGGGATCTGGGTTTTTCTGTTTATAGCCATCCTTCTTGTCATCCCAACTCAAAACCTTTTACCATTTCATCCTTTTATTTATTCAGCCGTACAGCCTGGGATTTATTGGACTTTCTGAGTCAAGATTTGTGTCTCCTAGCACTGGTGGAAAGTTGCTAGGCATTATCTTTTCCAAAGATAGTCTTTTGATTTTCTGCAGTTTGAATATGCTGTGCCTGGGTATAACTTTTTTGGTATAATGCATTATTCATTTCTGTTACAGAGTTTTGATTTCTAGCATTTCCTTTTAATTCTTAGAATTTCCATCTTTCTGCTTACATTACCCATCTGTTCTTGCATATTGTCCACCCTTTCTATTAGTGTCCTTAACATTAATCCCAGTTATTTTCAATTCCCAATCTGATAATTTCAAAATCTCTGCCATATCTGAGTCTGGTTGTGTTGCTTGCTTCGTCTCTTCCTATTGTGTTTTTTCCTTTTTAGAATGCTTTGTAATATTTGGTCGATAGCAATACATGATGTACTGGGGAAAAGGAACTGAGGTAAATAGGCCTTTATTGTAAGGTTTTATGCTTATCTGGCTAGGAGTTAGGCTGTGTTTATTGTTTACTGTTGCTGTAGGTTCCAGAGGCTCAAATTTCCTTCTTCTGTCTTATGGTTTCCCTAGAGATTCCTTTTTAAATATGGTCAGAGCTTTGCCCATTCTTTCAGCTGTAATGCCCTATTGTCATACAGGAGCCCATATGATGTTGTAGTAAAGTATGGGGGAGGGAGAAGTGGGGGAAGTGTTCTATAATTTTATGATTAGTTCTCAGTCTTTAGTAAGCCTGTGCCTCTGGGCTGTGACCCTCACAGGTGTTACTCGGCTTTAAAATTTTTCCTCTTTAGGTAAGAAAGGAAGGTAAAGGGGGCTAGAGGTGGGTATTTCCCTTTCCCCGGGTCAGTTAGGCTTTGGTTAAAAAGAAAAAAAATAGTTACTCATAAGGAAGAACTTCTGCCATTTTACTGGGAATTTTTTTCTAGAAGCCTTGTACCTTTTTTGTCCTCATTTCCTCCATTACTGCCACCTTTTGTGTTCAGTTCATTTTTTGCAGTTTACTGTTTTCTTTTTTTACTTCCTCTTGTGTGTGTGTGTGTTTTAAGATATTAGTGTTTACCATGGGGATTACAATTAACATCCTAAATTTATAACAATTTAACTTGAATTGATACCAGTTTGACTTTAATAACATACAAAAACTCTGCTTCTATACAGCTCTGCCCCCATTTATATTCTTGTCAGAAATTATATCTTCATAATTATGTTCCCCAAAACATAAGTTCTTAACTGTGTTTTATGTATTTACTTTAAAATCATGTAGAAAACAAAAAGTGGAGTTAAAAATAAAAAATGCAACAACAATATGGCTTTGACTTACTGTCTAGCATCCTTTCATTTCAACCTGAAGGATCCCTTTAGCATTTCTTGGAGGGCAGTTCTAGCAGTAATGAACTCCCTCAACTTTCTGTTTATTCTGGAATGTCTTAATTGCTCCTTAATGTGTGAAGAAAAATTAAGAAGAAAAAAATCTGTTTTGCAAAATGGAGAATTCTTTGTTGATAGTTTTTTCTTTGAGCACTTTAAATATGTTGTCCCACTGCCTTCTGGCTCTCATGGTTTCTGATTAGAAATTAATCTTTTAATCTTATTGAGTATCCTGGTATTTTGCTTCTCTTGCTACATTCAAGATTTGGTCATTATTTCTTCAAATATTCTTTATATTCTTTTCTTCCTGAAATTCCCATAGTGTGTATGTTGGTCCACTTGGTCTGTGTCTCAGACGCCCCTTAGGCTCTGTCCACTTTTCTTCATTCTCTTTTCTTTCTTCTCCTTCAGACTGGATGATTTCAAATGTCCTATCTTCGAGTTCACTGTTTATTCTGTATGCTAAATTATGCTGTTAAGCTTCTCTAGTGACTTCTTAATTTCAGTTATTGTACTTCAGCTCCAGAACTTCTGTTTAGTTCCTTTTATAATTTCTCTGTTGATATTCTCATTTTGTCGATACATTGTTTTCTTGGCTTGTTCTTTGTATGTGGTTTCCATTGACCTTTCCATTAGTCAGTTGTTTTCCATTTAAGACAGTTGATTTAGAGTCTGTCTAATAAGTCCAAGTATCTGCGCTTCCTCAGGGACAGATTGTGTTAATTATTTTTTCCTGTGAATGGGCCGTACTTTCCTATATCTTTGTATGCCCTGTAATTTTTTTTTCTCTTTGAAAACTGGATATTTGAATTTGGTGACTCTGGAAATCAGGTTCTCTTCCCCAGGGTTTGCCGTGTTTGATGGTTGAAGGCTACAGTCGTCTGTTTGTTTATGACTTTTCCAAACTATTTTTACAAAGACTATTCCTGGTTGTATGTAGTCCCTGAAGTCTCTGTTCCTTTAGCTTATGTTCAGCTATTATTTTGACAGAGATTTCCTTGACCTCCAGGAACTAAAAATTTAAAAACAAAATACCTACCTCTCCCAGTCTTTAAAGATTGACTCTGTTCTGGTCCACTCCTTCAGCTCCACCAGGCTGTCTACAGTTCTGCCTCAGGCTTCTCTTCCTGTTTTCACTGAGCCCTGAAGATCAGCCACATTTGGCCAAAAAAGCTTTTTACCTTTATCAGAATCAAATGCTTAGGGTCTTCTCAGATCTTTCTGTATATGCATACTGCCCTGGGCATGAATGTGGCTTTCTAAATTATTCAGCATACAGAGGCACTTTTTAATGCCCTAATTGCCCAAACTTTTCCTCCCAGGCCTTAAGCAATCCATTGCCTGTCTCATCCATAATCTTTTGCCTCAGGCAGCCGTGGGTTTTTTGTTTGCCTTTGGTTTTCATGCAGTGCCCACCACTTTTCCACCCTGAGTGAGTTCCAAGTAGGCAAAACAGAGACAAGCACCTTATGTAAGCCCTTCAAGTAGCTCCCAGACAGGTTAGAACAAACGCAGTACTTTTGCTCCATTCCTCCTGGAACTAGGAACCAGGGTCCCACACTGGAAACAGGGGCTACTGTCTTCAAGCCCACCACCAAGCTAGGAAGGAGCTGGTAAAGCACAAGTAAAAACACAGATCTTTCCTGCCATTTTCAAGTTGCCTTTTCTCTGATTCAACATTCACTTGGTTGCTGTAAACGTTTGATTGCTTTCTAGAGTTCTGATGAAGTTGATTCTGGCTGGCTGTTTTGTGATGTTTCAGTTGATGTCCACTTTAAGGGAACATTTCTTTAATTCTTTGGGGGCACTGTCTACCCTGGCCCACTTTAAACTCAATTATTTTGGGCCACAGAGAGTGTTTAGAAAGTTCTGGCCCCAGTCATGCAAGGGGCCAGAATTCTCATGGGGACATGTTATGTCTCTCTATCTCCCCAAACCAAGGCTAAGTGGGGCAAGTCTCTATATTGGTTTACTGTGACTGGTGCAATAAATTACCAAAAACTGGGTGGCCTGAGACAACAGAAATGTATTCTGTCACGGATCTGGAGGCCAGAAGTCTGAAATTGGTGTCAGCAGGACTGTATTCTCTAGGGGAGAATTTGTTCTTTGCCTCTTCCAGCTACTGGTGGTTCCGGGCATCCTTGTGGCTACATCACTTTGATCTCTGCCTCATTGCCACCTCTTATGTCTGTTTCTCCTTTTTCCAAAAAAGGTCACAGTCACAGTTTCCAGGAATTAAAGCGTGGTCATATCTTTTGGAAGGCCATTATTAAACCCATAACGTTCTCTTAACTGTTTTTCTCTGTGGTGAAGGATCTTTTTGAAATTTACCCTTTTTCCATGGGCTCCTTATTTGAGGTCTCAGTTTTTTGTTTTTTAATTTTTATTTATTTATTTTTTATTGGAGTATAATTGCTTTACAATGGTGTGTTAGTTTCTGCTTCACAACAAAATGAATCAATTATATATATACATATGTTCCCATATCTCTTCCCGCTTGCATGTCCCTCCCTCCCACCCTCCCTATCCCACCCCTCCAGGCGGTCACAAAGCACCGAGCTGATCTCCGTGTGCTATGTGGCTGCTTCCCACTAGCTATCTACCTTACGTTTGGTAGTGTATATATGTCCATGCCTCTCTCTTGCTTTGTCACAGCTTACCCTTCCCCCTCCCCATATCCTCAAGTCCATTCTCTAGTAAGTCTGTGTCTTTATTCCTGTTTTACCCCTAGGTTCTTCATGACATTTTCTTTTTCTTAAATTCCATATATATGTGTTAGCATACAGTATTTGTCTCTCTCTTTCTGACTTACTTCACTCTGTATGACAGACTCTGAGGTCTCAGTTTTTTGAGGGGGGTTTCATTGGACTCCCCAGTTTGTGTAGACCCTAGGATTTTTCTTCTCTCACTTTCATAGCCTATTAGTGCCAAATCTTTAAGCCTCCAGGCCCACCAGAAAATCTTAATGTTCAGCTACCTCTTGGGATTCATGATATTTTGGGCTCTGTGGATTTCTCTCATTTTCTTCCCTTGCTCAGCTATTTTTTTTTAATTAAAAAAAGTTTTTTTAATTAATGTTTTATATTATACTTTGACATTTTCTGCTACATTATTAAAAGTGAAAGCCTTCTTTTCCACTTGCATTTCTCTCTTCAATGAAGCACAGTTATTTTGCTTGAGATTTATTTTCAATAACTCTCCTTTGTCTCTTTACCCCTCCCTAGTTTTAGGGCCTCATCATCTAATGAGACAGCCTGTCTGCAGGCTGTATTCTTCCACCAAGATTGTCTTCATGCACATTCCTCCCTTGATGATGTTCCCCTGCTCGGATCCCCCAAGGCTCACTATTATCTAATGCTTCAGAATCTTTAGCTTGACACATAAAATCCTTCCTGTTCTGGTCCTTATCTGTCTTTCCAGTTATGTCCATGAAGCTTTCGTTCTATCAGAAGGCTTTTTTCACTCTCCTTCCAACACACTTGGCTCTTTCATGATGGTTTGGTAGTCAGCATCAACAAGTAGGTGTAGCTTCCTGTTTTGATAACCTTGTGTGAAACTTCAAAGACATTCTTAACTTCTTTTTCTTAGCCCTCAAATCCATTGGTCACCAAGTGCAGTTGAGCAGTGAAAATGAAGAATTGTCATCATTTTTACTTGTTGTATGCAAGTGTAGGTACCTGGTTGAAACTGATCAAGGATAGAATCACATCCATGTGAATCAGGTATTAGTACTACTACCTATGATTCACAAACCAGATCTTACCTATAATGTCTTATTACCTTCTTTTTGCTCTTTAAGGTTGACTGGGCAAGTTTAGTAGGTAAAAGCTTGAAAGTTAACTTATTCACCCAAGATTATCAAGAAACCTGGTATTCTTTCCAATCCAGTATCTTTTCCCAATCTGATATCTCTTGCCTCGTTTTCATTGTATTCTTCCTCTCAAGATTATCTTTCATAAAATATTAATAATTTGGTAAATTAGAAGGATCTCATAAGGCTTACAGTTTTAGAAACTCACTGATGCCTTCTTGCTTGTTCCACTAGACTCTAAATATCTTCTCCAGCTCCTGTAGTTCTCTATTAAGGAGGCAGCTTTTGAGAGCATTTTCTTATCCAGAGTTCCTGTTAGGACAGGAGCCATTTTTAGAGAAAGTTGGTCCTTCCCTTTGAATTCAGATCTGGCTAGATGCAAAATGCCCCACAGTAGGCATAGAACTTTTAAAAATTTTCTCCTTCCTTCCTTCCTTCCTCCCTCTTTCTTTCCTTTCTCGTTCCTTCCTCCCTCCCTTCCTTCCTTCCTTCCTTTCCCTTCTTCTTCTCCCTCCACTGCCCCACTCTTTTTCTGAGCTTTAATATATTCAGTGTGTTTTGATCTATAGTATTTGTGTTATGCTTTTGGATGCTCAGTTTTTTCTTTTATCTTTAGCTGTATTGGCTCCTGTATTTTTTGACCTGAGTCTTTAGTCTTTGATAAATTCTTGCTTTCTGACATTGCAAGCTGTCCTAGGTTTATCATGTATACTCTTTCTTCCCCAAACATGGAAACGACTTGCTGTTTTTCCTGTTATAGGGTGTTAATATTTAGGAACCACAAATCTGAGCTGCTTGCTTAGCATTGCTTCTAGGCCTTTTCTGAAGACATAGGAAATATTGTTCGTGTGGGATTGTGGGGACATCTTGGGCAGTACTCAGAGTTAGTTAGGTTAAGGGCACAGTCCTCCAGAAGTCTGCCCAAAACTTCTAACCCCAAGTATAAGGAGTTAGGCTCCAACTACAAGCTCAGACAAAAGAGTTCACACAAGACCGTTGTCACTTCTGGCACCAACTGCAAGTTCAGAGGGTTTCCAAAAATCACCCTCAGGTCTGATAATTTGCTAGCAGGATTCACAGAACTTGTGGAAGCTATTGTACTCATGACTACATTTATTATAGGGAAAGGATAAAAACTAGAACCAGGCAAAGAGAGGAGATGCACAGGGCCAAATCTGGGAGGGGGTCCAAATATGTAACTTCAGATTATCTCTCTGCAAGGAGGCATGGACAGTGTTGCCTCCTAGCCTGAATACATGACAGTAGTACGTACAGTGTATTACCAACCAGGGAAGCTCAGCTGAGCCTTGGTGTCTAGAGTTTGTATTGAGGCTTCATTACATACGTATGATTGCTCTTTCTGGTGTAGCCAGCTCCACCCTGAGTCATCTCAGTAGCATAAACCATCAGGTGTGTTCAGGGGCCTACAATAAATAACAAAAGATGCTCCTATCACTCAGGAAATCCCAGGGTTTCAGAACTACCCCCAGTAGCTGGGACAAAGTTTAGGTTTCTCTTAAGGTGAGGCCGAATTTCTTACTACCCAGGCAGTTAACATTTTTTTAATATTCATCCAGAATAAGTAGAAAAATGATTTCTTTAAAACTTCTTCTTTCCATTCTAGAAATTACAGAAGAAATCCCCATGAAGACTTTGAACACGAAGACTGTGTATGTTTCTGTATTACCGACTACAGCAGACTTCTAACATTCAGTTATCTGTGTGGTTCAGTCAACCTTTCCCTGGCATATACCTCTTCTCCCCTCCCCCCAACCCCGGACACACACACGGACACAGACATGTTGATATTTCCTTCAGGTGCATGTATAATATACTGCTTTTGGTCTAAAATCGAAATGGAATTGATCAAGTGACTTGAGGCTTCACAGTAATAGTCACACTTAACCGTAAACACCTATGTAGTCGTGTTGAGGAAAAGTTACAGTGTTACCTCAGCACTACAGAGTATATTTCTATACTTGAATTTTTAAGTATAGAACATAGTTGTTTAAATGGTATTGTGTGTGTGTGTGTGTGTGTGTGCGCGCGCACGTGTATATATATATCTCTGTTATCTGTCTATATATATATATCATTCTGTGGCCTTTTAAAACTTATTTGAAATCTATTGAAGGAATGGACAGTGTTATATATTTTTGCTACCTGGATTTTCCTGGGTAATTTGATGGAATATTTTAAGTTTTAGTAAATCGGAACAATAAACTTTCTCACAGATAATAAACATGTTAGAAGTAATTCATTCTCCCATAGTTCAGTGAAACTTGGAATTTGCAATCTTTAAAGAACAAAAAAACTTAATAGTGACTTCCATATTAAGACACTAGACTAAATATCTAATTTCACTTCTTCCCAAAATCCTGTGTCAAAGAAGCATATGCCAAGACAAAATTAGATGTGCAAGAATTTATTGGGGGAAGCATACACGAAAGATAAAGGAGAGAGAGTAAAGGCAAAGGTAGAGAGAGCCTTCAGGCAGAAATGACCTGACTTTGGACCCATGCCTTGCTCAATCAGTGGCTGGGAGCAGCTGAGGGGGTCCATGGCCTCAGCACAGATGGATCCATTGATCTGAAAATGTAGTAGCTGGAAGCTGTCAACCAACTATACTCCCTACATCAGATTCTCCTGAAAGGAGCTCTGAATGGTGCGTCTTTAGCTGCTAGAATAAATGCATTCAAATCCATACCCACAAAGTTGGAGGAAACCACACAAGATAACAAGTGTTGGCAAGGATCAGCGAAACTGGAACCCTTGTGCACTGTTGGTGGGAATGTAAGATGTTGCAGTCACTATGGGAAACAGTATAGAGGTTCCTCAAAAATTAGAAGTAGAACTACCATATGATCCAACAGTCAACTTCTGTTTACATATCCAAAAGAATTGAAAGCAGGGCCTTGAAAAGATATTTGCACACCCAGGTTCATTGCAGCATTATTCACAACAGCCAAGAGATGGGGCAACCCAGATGTCCACTGAGGGATAAATGGATAAAGAAAATGTAATCTGTACATACAATTGAATATTATTCAGTCTTAAGAAAGAAGGATGAACCTTGAGGACATTAAGCAAAGTGAAATAAGCCAGTCACAAAAAGACAAATACTGTGTGATTCCACTTGTATGAGGTACCTAAAGTAGTCAAATTCATTGAAACAAAATGCAATGGTGGTTGCCAGGTGTTGCAGGGAAGGAGAAATGGTGAGCTGTTCAATGGGAATAGTTTTAGTTTTGCAAGTTTTGAAGAGTTCTAGAGGTCTTCTGCACAAAAATGTGAACATAGTTAACATACTTTGATCCTTAAAAATAGCTAAGTTGGTACATTTTATGTATCTTTTACCACAATTTAAAAAAATTTTTTGAATGTCAGAGGGACAGAAGCCAACCTGAAAGAGCTCCCAGTGACCAAAGCTGGAACCGTTTGAACAAACATATAATGTAATATTGAATTAAAATCCAAAATATAAAATAAATATCAGTGAGTACATGCTGATATAAATGATTGAATAAATAAATGAGAGAGGTGAGGCAAATCTATATAAAATTCCAAATAATGTATATACATACTCTTTCACAAGGTGGTGTACCTTAACTCCCCACACCTTGAGAGAGGGCTGTACTTTGTGACTTCAAAAGAGTAGAGTATGTGAAGGGGGCAAAAAGTAACTTCACAGTTTAGAAAACTGACAAACACTACCTCGGACAGGTTAACATCATCAGGCATGATAGCATATACTCTTTTTTTTTTTTTAATTTTTTTATTGATGTGTAGTTGATTTACAATGTTGTGTTAGTTTCTGCTGTACAGCAAAGAGATTCAGTTATATATACATATATTATTTTTCATATTCTTTTCCATTATGGTTTGTCACAGGATATTGAATATAGTTCCCTATGCCCTGACCATTTTTTTTAATAACATCTTTAATGGAGTATAATTGCTTTACAGTGTTGTGTTAGTTTCTGCTATATAACAAAGTGAATCAGCTATATGGATACATATATCCCCATATCCCTTCTCTCTTGCACCTCCTTCCCACCCTCCCTACCCCACCCATCTAGGTGGTCACAAAGTACCGAGCTGCTCTCCCTGTGCTATGCAGCTGCTTACCACTAGTTATCCATTTTACATTTGGTAGTGTATATATGTCAGTGCTACTGTCTCACTTCATCCCAGCTCCATTCTCTACATCTGCGTCATTATTCCTGTCCTGCCCCTAGGTTCATCAGAACCATTTTATTTTTAGATTGCATATATGTGTGTTAGCATATGGTATTTGTTTTCCTCCTTCTGACTTCACTCTGTGTGACCAACTTTAGGTCCATCCACCTCACTACAAATGACTCAATTTCGTTTCTTTTTATGGCTGAGTATTCCATTGTATATACGTGCCACATCTTCTTTATCCATTCATCTGTTGATGGACACTTAGGTTGCTTCCATGTCCTGGCTATTGTAAATAGAGCTGCAATGAACATTTTGGTACATGACTCTTTTTGAATTATGGGTTTCTCAGGGTATATGCCCAGTAGTGGGATTGCTGGATCATATGGTCTTTCTATTTGTAGTTTTTTAAGGAACCACCATACTGTTCTCCATAGTGGCTGTATCAATTTACGTTCCCACCAACAGTGCAAGAGGGTTCCCTTATCTCCACACCCTCTCCAGCATTTATTGTTTGTAGATTTTTTGATGATGGCCATTCTAACCACTGTGAGGTGATACCTCATTGTGGTTTTGATTTGCATTTCTTTAATGATTAGTGATGTTGAGCATCCCTTCATGTGTTAGTTGGCAATCTGTATCTTCTTTGGAGAAATGTCTGTTTAGGTCTTCCACCCATTTTTAGATTGGGTTGTTTGTTTTTTTGTTTGTTTTGTTTTTTGTTTGTTTGTTTTTGCGGTATGCAGACCTCTCACTGTTGTGGCCTCTCCCGTTGCAGAGCACAGGCTCTGGACACGCAGGCTCAGCGGCCATGGCTCACGGGCCCAGCTGCTCCGCGGCATGTGGGATCTTCTCGGACCAGGGCACGAACCCGTGTCCCCTGCATCGGCAGGCGGACTCTCAACCACTGCACCACCAGGGAAGCCCTGGGTTGTTTGTTTTTTTGATATTTGGCTGCGTGAGCTGCTTGTATATTTTGGAGATTAATCCTTTGTCAGTTGCTTTGTTTGCAAATATTTTCTTCCATTCTGAGGGTTGTTTTTTCATCTTGTTTATGGTTTCCTTTGATGTGCAAAAGCTTTTAAGTTTCCTTAGGCCCCATTTGTTTATTTTTGTTTTTATTTCCATTTCTCTAGGATGTGGGTCAAAAAGGATCTTGCTATGATTTATGTCATAAAGTGTTCTGCCTATGTTTTCCTCTAAGACTTTTAAAGTGACTGGCCTTAAATTTAGGTCTTTAATCCATTTTGAGTTTATTTTTGTGTATGGTGTTAGGAAGTGTTCTAATTCCATTCTTTTCCATGTAGCTGTCCAATTTCTAGCACCACTTATTAAAGAGACTGCCTTTACTCCATTGTATATTCTTGCCTCCTTTATCAAAGATAAGGTGACCATATGTGTGTGGGTTTATCTCTGGGCTTTCTATCCTTTTCCATTGATCTTTCTGTTTTTGTGCCAGTACCATACTGTCTTGGTTACTGTAGCTTTGTAGTATAGTCTGAAGTCCGGGAACCTGATTCCTCTAGCTCCGTTTTTCTTTCTCAAGATTGCTTTGGCTATTCAGGGTCTTTTGTGTTTCCATACAAATGGTAAAATTTTTTGTTCTAGTTCTGTGAAAAATGCCATTGATAGTTTGATAGGGATTGCATTGAATCTGTAGATTGCTTTGGGTAGTAGAGTCATTTTCACAGTGTTGATTCTTCCAATCTAAGAACATGGTATGTCTCTCCATCTGTATTGTCTTAGATTTCTTCCATCAGTGTCTTATAGCTTTCTGCATACAGGTCTTTTGCCTCCTTAGGCAGGTTTATTACTAGTTATTTTATTCTTTCTGTTGCAGTGGTAAATAGGAGTGTTTCCTTAATTTCTCTTTCAGGTTTTTCATCGTTAGTGTATAGGAATGCAAGAGATTACTGTGCATTAATTTTGTATCCTGATACTTTACCAAATTCATTGATTAGCTCTAATAGTTCTCTGGTAGCATCTTTAGGATTCTCTATGTATACTATCATGTCATCTGCAAACAGTGACAGTTTTACTTCTTCTTTTCCAATTTGTATTCCTTTTATTTCTTTTTCTTCTCTGATTGCCGTGGCTAGGACTTCCAAAACTATGTTAAATAATAGTAGTGAGAGTGCACAACCTTGTCTTGTTCCTGATTTTTGAGGAAATGGTTTCAGTTTTTCACCATTGAGAACGATGTTGGTTGTAGGTTTGTCATATATGACCTTTTTTATGTTGAGGTAGGTTCCCTCTATGCTGACTTTCTGGAGAGTTTTTATCATAAATGGGTGTTGAATTTTGTCAGAAGCTTTTTCTGCATCTTTTGAGATTGTCATATGGGTTTTGTGGGGTTTTTTAATAAATTTATTTATTTTTTGGCTGCATTGGGTCTTAGTTGCTGCACGGGCTTTCTCTATCTGTGGCAAGCAGGGCCTACTCTTCGTTGCAGTGCGTGGGCTTCTCATTGTGGTGGGTTCTCTTGTTGCAGAGCACAGGCTCTAGGCGCACGGGCTTCAGTAGTTGTAGCATGCGGGCTCAGTAGTTGTGGTGCACAGGCTTAGTTGCTCTGCTGCATGTGAGATCTTCCCAAGCCAGGGCTCAAATCCGTGTCCCCTGCATTGGCAGGAGGCTTCTTAACCACTGCGCCACCAAGGAAGCCCCTATCATATGGTTTTTTTCCTTCAATTTGTTAATATGGTGTATCACATTCATTGATTTGTCTATATTGAAGAATCCTTGCATTCCTGGGATAAGCCGCGCTTGGACCATGGTGTATGATCCTTTTAATGTGTTGTTGGATTCTGTTTGCTAGTATTTTGTTGAGGATTTTTGCATGTATGTTCATCAGTGATATTGGCCTGTAATTTTCTGTTTTTGTGACATCTTTGTCAGGTTTTGGTATCAGGGTGATGGTGGCCTCGTAGAATGAGTTTGGGAATGTTCCTCCCTCTGCTATATTTTGGAAGAGTTTGAGAAGGATAGGTGTTAGCTCTTCTCTAAATGTTTGATAGAATTTGCCGGTGAAGCTGTCTGGTTCTGGGCTTTTGTTTGTTGGAATATTTTAAATCACAGTTTCAATTTCA